CAGCTCTCCCCAGATGGGCAGCTGCGCAAGCTCTCACGTGGCTCCAACAATTCGGATACATCCATCGATGATATTCTGTCGGGCAGCACCTACCTGGACGATCAGACCACTGTGCGTCGCAATTATGAGGCACGCTTGAGCAGCGGCGGCGGCAGTTGCAAAAAGTGCAGCCATTCCAGTCACTCCGAGGAGGAAACCAGCTCCATTGGCACCGATCTCGATGGCACTGTGCGCATGGGATTGCAGCAAAAGAAATGCACGCACAGCTCCCACTCGGAGGACACCTCGATTGGTCTCAGCATCTCTGAATGGTCCACGGGCACCAATACAGTGCGCCAGTATGCTAATCTTTCCGGCTCGGACAGTCTCTCAGCGGTCTCCACACATTCGTGCGCTAAGAGCGAAAAATCCAATCACACTAAGTCCAGCATTAGCTCCATTAATAAATCGGCTGAGAGCCTCAACGAGCAGAGCGGCAGCTATTCACACAAGTTCAGTGGGGATAATGGATCCTCGGATGGATTGCGCTATGACATGTTGTCCAACTCGGAGACGGATAAGCTGAGTGAGCCCACCTCGGCAACGCGCAGCGATGATACGACTTTGACATTAACCGAAATGGCGCACACGATCAGCGAGTGGTCCACATCGAGCAGTCGGACTCTGGTGGGCGTGATGCCGGGCGAGTATTTACCACTGAAGCAGCCCAGGATGGGCAGCAGCAAGCCCAGTTTGAGTTCGCCCAGCGAAGAGAAGCGCTGCTCACTGCCCCAGATCCACAGACGCAGCGGTAGCAATGGCAACCAGGCGCGAAATGCTCAAGAGCACGCAGAGCATCTCGCCGGATCAGCGGGGCCAGAGACGAGCGCCGCTGCACGCAAACGCCGCTCGCTGGAGATGATGTCCAAGCTGTATCAGAGCCAGGAGATATGCTCCGAATCGGAGTCTCCGTTTGTGGAGCGTTTGTATGCGCACAGCGAGAAGCTGACGGAGCGCTATCAGAGCCAGGAGTTTGTCCCGCTGCACACAGCCGCCCCAGCCAGCGGCAGCAGCAGCAGTGGCACCACGCAAATCCAAACCCAGCAATCACAGCAGATACGACAAAAAACACGCGCACCACAGCCGCCCACAAAGCCCAAGCCGGCGGTAACAAGGCCCATAATGCAGGCGCTGCTCAACAAGATGAAGCAGCCGGGCCTGGCGGAGCAGGCAGCTGCCGCTGCTGAGGCAGAGGAAGCGGCGGCGGCTTCGGCGGCGGCTCAAGTGAAGCCAAAGCCCGCACCGCCGCCGGTACCCACGGTGCCTCCCATTATCACGCCCAGCGATTTGCCTGGTCGTGTGGGCGCACCGCCAGCCAAGCCGCTGGCCAAACATCACAGCTACGATGACAAGACGCTGTCCAAGACGCAGATACGTGAGTTTAAGACAACATCCAAGCAGCTGCGTCAGTCGAGCTCCTTTCACGAGCACATGCTGAGCAAGTCGCAGCAATCCTCACAGGAGCAGCCTATGCGTATTGACGAGGAGCGCGACGCGCACTCCACCTCCTCGGCCACTAATACGACAACTACAACCAACACCCTTAACAGCGAAAGCACGGCGCCCAACTCGCCGCAGATGCCACAGCGAGCCGATAAGCTGATACGCTGCTCGCCCTACTATTCCAGCAGCCTAAGTTCCGAGTCGCCACCGAATCAGCTGGTGCAGAAGCCACCGCGCAAGAGCTCAGCCGGACAGCTGGCAGCTGCTTCTACTGCTGCTGTGGCGGCCCATGCCATGAAGAGTCCTCCCAGCGGCAATGATACGGACAGCTCGCTGGATGTTCGCGGCCAGGATGCCAAACACCAGCAGCTGCGCAGTCGTGGCTATCGCAAGAAGCGCCAGCTGCCCGTAAAGCGTATGCGCGCCAATTTGAACGCTGCGGCTCTGCTGGAGCAGGCGGAGAGCAGCGAATGCTCCGAGGGCTATATGCCAGAAATGGATTCAGGCAGCTCCGAGTACTCGTACCAGCGGGACGAACACTATCTGGAATTCGATGAGGAGCTGGAGCGTGAACAAACGGATGAGTATGAGGATTATCCACAGTATAGCGGCGCCAGCGCCAGCAAATTTGAGAGCCTGGACATGAGCGACAATGTGGATGAGATGGGTTTTCCACGTTACGATCGCTTGGGACATATTACCAAGCCCATGTATCAGTCGTTGGTGGACAGGCCAGCGCCAGCTAATCATCCCATGCCGCCGGCCACTGGACAGCCGGTGAAACCGGCGCGCACCAAGAAGCGACAGCTGAAACGCGAGGATTCCCTGGCGCCCAGCAGTTCGACCGCTGTTCCACAGCAGCCGTATCATGGACGCAGCTACTGTAATCCGGAGGAGAGCGAGTACGAGTCGCGTGAGGATGTGGCCAACTCCAGTGAGGATAGCGGTGCTGGCGCCGGCGGTGCTGGCGCCATGGGCACCATAAGGCGTGGCAGCAGTCGCGCCATGGCGCCAGTCGAGCCGCCAAGACAACAGCAGCTGCCGTATCCGGACTTCCTCTCGGACTACGAAACGGAGCCCATAGAGTATGAGCGTTATGCGTGTGGCCTGGACATAAGAGTTGATCCGCCGCCCAAGTTCCATGACTCGGATGATCTGAGCGATCATTAAGGACAGTAGTAGTAGAAGAAGAAAAAGAAGCAGCAGCATTTTCCATTTCTTCAGTTGCCTTGGAAATTTTTAGAACAAATCTATGACAATTTTTACACACGATCCAACTTATATAACCAACTTATTTATAATTGAGACTGATTTACGACAAAAACAAAAAAAAACCAAAACAAAATACTACAAAAAAAATTACTAAAGGCCAAGAAAAATATCGTACAATCCAAGCAAAAAAAAATTGAATGTTGCTTAAGAAAACCGAAAATACCGCAATAGCAAAATGGAACATATATAATATTCAAAATACATATAACCCCGACGAGTTCGACAAAAAAATCAAACTAACTAAAATTTTAATCAAATATATATTACCTAAAAAAACTACAAAATTTAAACGAGTTGGTCAGTGGATGCAAACGGTTAACATAGCTGGAGTACCCTACATACATAGAGTATATATATATATACATATATCGAATGTTATAGAACAGCTGCTCCAAAAAACAAAGTGAGAGTTGAGCAAATTTTAATGCACTGTTTAATCATCGAATAATACAAATAAAACAAAAAACTTACAAAAAATATTTAATTGTTATTTAGCTTAAACAATGAATAAAAAGGGAAAATGGTCGGAGAAGGAGTTTTACGATTAAAGTTGAACACGAAACAATTATTTAATATTAATTGAGACAAGTATTTGCATTACGATTAGTACTTGATCAGTATTATTGTATTTACCTATGATATAAGTTCCAGTTACTGTGTCAAAGCTTCAATTTATATATGTATAAGTACAGTTAAATTATATACTTTTCCCGAGATTTGTATAAACAAACAGTATTATATTAATGAGAAATAACTGGCATAATCTAAGATCTCTTTGGTATTTACTTAATGTGCAAGCATTTATTTCATTCGATAAAGAAAATGAGAATATCTCGAAACTTTTCTATTCAATATATATGTATTTAATATATATATTTTATTTCAAGTTTTTAATTTGATGGCAAAGTTTTAGCGAGCAATGTTACGAATCAATAAATCAATAGTTCTAATCCGATATTCTTCACAAAGAAAAAGTTGTATTAGCTTTAGTTTTAGAACATAAATGTGCCAAAAAAAAAAAAACATGAACAACATTATTAAATTAATACAATATTATTAATTAACAAAGTTAAGAATATTCAGATGCCAAAACGAAGCGTATTAATTATAGTATGTAAAACGAAAAGAAGTCAAGCAAAACACTGTTAAGTTTTCGAAAATTCCAACATAGGAAAGAAGCAGAGTAAGCAAAAGGGTATTAAATTCTTAGAAGAGTTAAGTGAAGTTAGGTTATGTTATGGCCATGCCCAGCGTACAATAATTCACATATTTACCGGATCAAAAGTATGTATTCAAATCAAAAAGTCAACCATTTCTATTGGCATTCAAAAATGTGTTTAGCTCTAGTCAAACATTTATTAAAATCTACATATATCGAATTGTTTGTTGTATCTATGTGCTAGTTGAACCTTAATATTAAATATTGAAGTTAGTTTTTACCTGTTTTTTAGTTAGTTAGCTTAGGCAATGTTTTTTGAATGGATCATACAGTTTTTTGTACAATGTGTTTACAATCCATTTTCCGTTAACCAATGAAGACTTGTGTCCGAACTTCCAACCTAAGAAAAGACTAGTAAATAATTTTTCCATCAAATATGAGAATTCCTTCGAGTGCAAATGAATGTTTATTTAGAGTTAAATTATATTTAAATGGCAAAAAAAAAAAAACAATCTTAGCTGAATTTTAGCCAGTAAGAATAATAAATGAAAAACTCGTTCCACACTCTCAAATAAAGAAAATACACTCTCAAACTGCGTTGATAATACACACACACACATACACACGCACACATTTAATTTTCACAATTTTTAAAAACAATTAAATCAATGGAAAAGAATTATAAATTAATAAACAGAAATCTATACACGATGCAAGCGATTTAAACAAAATAAATTAATTATATAGAACGAAAAACCAAAATAAAAACTTCATTAATCAAAACAAAAATTGTTTTATTAGGCAAAAAAAAAAAAATAATTATAAAATTTATTGTTTATAGTAAAATGTTTACTTATTCATTTTATATTTTATTATAAATTACTATCAGTTTGTCCGACCGTCAGGGCCAATTACTTTCCGCTTTCACCCATGTTCCGATCATATATTTTTTTGTAAATTTAGTTTTTATTAAATTTAATTAAACATTATTTTTATTTTAATTTTTTTAAATCTTTTAAATTAATTTTCTTTTGAATTTTCTTTTACTTTGGGCTTTCCAGATGTCTACCACGGCATCAATGGCAACATGTCGCTGGATAGACGCGGTGAGATAGCCACGCCCCCGAATCGTTACGATCTCACGTTGGGCTCGGACAAATCCTCATCGCTGTCACGCTCCGAAGCGGGCACCTATGACATCATCCAGGCTGAGATACAGCATGCCAAGCGTCAGGAGCTGGCCACAGGCGTGGCTCTCGCCCACAATGGACACAATGGCAATGCCAATGGTAATGGCCTGCCCATCAGTTCCAATAGCCATGATATCGAGGCTGAGGTCAAGAAACGCAAATGGCCCACCGAGCCAAGCTATTTCCTGGCCAAGGAGCTGCTCATGACGGAGCGCACCTACAAAAAGGATCTGGATGTGTTGAACAGCTCTTTGCGGCAGGTGCTCAGCCTGGAGGATGTGGAGCAACTGCAGCCACTGTTCGAGCTGCTCGACTCGCTTGCCCAGCATCACAATCTCTTTCTGCGCGACATCGAGCATCGCATGGTCCTGTGGGAGGGGCGTGGCAATCATGAGACCCATCGCATCGGCGACGTCATGATGAAGCACATGGGTGCATTGCCCATATACGATGAGTATGTGCAGACGCATCTGGACATCTTGCACTGCATGAACGACATGTACGAGTCGGACCAGCGCTTCCGGCAGCTGTACAAGGAGTTTGAGCAGCAGAAGATCTGCTATCTGCCCATTGGTGAGCTGCTGCTGAAGCCGCTGAATCGCCTGCTGCACTATCAGTTGCTGCTGGAACGCCTCTGCGACTATTATGCCGAGGAGCATACCGATTATGCCGACTGCCAGGCGGTCTATCATCTGCTCATCCGGAGCACCAAACAGATACGTGCCCATCTGCCCGACTCGGCCAATTTTGTGGAGCTGTGCGAGCTGCAACGCGACATTAGCTTTGAGCAGCTAGTGCAGCCCCATCGCCGGCTTATCCGGCAGGGTTGCCTGCTGAAGCATTCAAAGCGCGGCCTGCAGCAGCGCATGTTCTTCCTCTTCTCGGACATTTTGCTCTATGGCTCCAAATCGCCGCTCGATCAAAGTTTCCGCATACTCGGCCACGTGCCGGTCCGTTCGTTGCTCACCGAAAATGCCGAGCACAACACTTTCTCCATATTTGGCGGCCAGTGCGCGATTACAGTGAGTGCTGGCACCACCGCCGAGAAGACTCTCTGGCTGGCCGAGCTGTCCAAGGCGGCGGCCGATATCAAGAACAGGCCACCAAACATGCAGCTGCAGCTGACCACGCTCAAGAATTGCAGTGAGTATCTCAATTGGTTTCAACTTATCCTATTGTCTCAGAATAGGTCTCTATTTTTCACTCGATTTTTAGGATATTCATTCTCTTCTTATATCCTTAACAAGAAGGCATGTTTTCACATTCTTTACCTTTTCATTCTATTTATCCATCTATTTTCTCTTGCTTTACACTCATTATGCCTGGCAAGAAAAGCACGCTGCAAAGCCTCGTAAGAAAGCAAGATCCCCATTAATCCTCTGCTCCCATATGTGGCATAGGTTCAATTTTAACTGATCTATTTGTATATCTCTCTTAGGCTCCTCGGAGGAGGGTCTGGACATGCTCGGCCTGAGCAACGGCACAAACAGCCTGAACAGCAGCACCGGCGGCGGCAACGGTCCATTGACGCCGCAGCAGCTGCAGCTGCAGCAGCAGAACAAGACGCAACCGTCACGCAGCAATACCGCACTACACGTCTGCTGGCATCGTGGCGCCACCGTTGGTCTCGGCGATCATCTCATTGCGGCAGAGCATCAGCTGTCCGGCTATCTGCTGCGTAAATTCAAGAACAGCTCCGGCTGGCAAAAGCTTTGGGTGGTCTTTACCTCGTTCTGCTTGTATTTCTATAAAAGCTATCAGGATGAGTTCGCGCTGGCCAGCCTCCCGCTGCTGGGATATACGGTGGGTCCGCCCGGCCATCAGGATGCAGTGCAAAAGGAGTTTGTGTTCAAGCTATCCTTCAAGAATCACGTCTACTTCTTCAGAGCGGAGAGCGCGCACACCTACAACAGGTGAGAGACTGCGAGTCTGAGCCAACGGCAGCTTTATTAATGCATTTAATTTTCCTTTTCTTCTATCCAGGTGGTTGGAAGTGCTGCGCAGCACCACCCAAACGCAGGACTTTAAGAACGTGCACAGCCATGCGTCCAACAATTAGCTCAGTTATAACCGACTATAAAATACCCTTTTTTAAATATATATAATTCTTGTGCAATTCCATGAAACAGCCTAGTTGCTGTCGAGCTGAACCCACATAGAAGTGCCCACTCTAGTATTCTCTATATACACACATATATATTTATCTATATATATATATTTTTATATACAACGTATACACCACAAAGCAATTCCCTTTTTATATATGCTCTATACGCAACTCTACTCTATAATTGACTCTAAACTTTATACACCGCGTATATTTACGAAATAAATTTCTTAGCTGCTAAGTTCACAATTTCCATGTAAATAACGTCTCGTATTTTACTTTTAAATGCATTTTGTTCTATGTGCTGGTCCCTATTTTTATACTCTTTATTAAATATAAAAACTTTGTATTTTTGTGCGGTTTAATATTATATATTCAAGTATTTTTATAAACAGCTTGTGTGTCAAATTATGCAAATTATTAACAACAAATTAAAATTGCAATTGTTATAGTTTTATAACAAATCCAATAAATATATATAATTAAATGTTTGTGTATGTAATTAAATGTTGCCTTACGACCCTGCGTCGCCCTCTTTTTTATTGTACTTTACACAAACAATTGTCAAAAAGAGTATAAACCATGCAATTATCATGAAAATATTTAATACAAATTAAGCTTAAGTCATTAAATTTAATAGAAATTAACAAATTAATACAAATTTGAACAAAAAAAATACACATACATAAAAAGCGGTTTTATTTCATGTTATTGTCAAGAATATAGCAAATCGAAAGAATTGAAAGAAAATGTTCAAGACAAGAGACTTGTTTACATGTAAAAATATATGTTTATAATAATAAAATTATCGGGGCTGCAAACCCAAATGGTTGGAAGTTTACGCATCTAACCGGCTTCGTGCCTTGAGGCTCGGTTAGCAGGTTTTGTCTTGTAATTTATCATCCAAATGTTATTTAGTTTTATTGTAAAGCCAAAAGAGCCTTGTTTATTTAGACAGCTGCTTGTTAAAAATATATGTCTTATAGAGTCATTCGGCAATTCTACTATAAGTCATATGTTATTTATCTTCGTAAAACTTTCCCATGTTAAAGAAAATTTCAATTCGTTTTTTGTAATATTTCTCATTTATTGATATTTGAAATCTATAAGGTAAATTGTTATCATTTGCTTCATTTTGCTGCATGTAATTTTTCATTTCTCTTGTGGTTTCTCTTTAATAGAGCTCTAAAAGAATTTCAATAATTTTCGATTACATTTTAAATTATAAAAAAAAGGGAAAAATCAACATGCTGCTATTAGGGTTTATCCATATAGAGATTAACATGATGCTCAGAGCATCATCTTCATCGTCTTCATTATCATTATCATAATACGACATAGTCATCGTCCAACACACAAAGTGCCAAAGTGGAGGGTCTTAGCAAAAGGAACAGCATTTTGAAATCAAACAATCGATTGTAAGTATACGCTTAAAACTAGAACTAAATAATGGATAATTCACCCTGGCCCAGACGCTAGCAAGTGTATCAAAGTGTTACGAATTAGCGTGGCAAATGGCAGTTATGAGGTGTTTTAGAATCTAATTACTATGTATATTGGGGCTGTGTGTGTGTGTAAGGGGTGTTGTAACCTAAACGGACACCCATCGAAATGAGCCCGATTTCAAGTATACAAACTTAATCGAAATAGATTAACAACACTTGGATTTACACATAGGTTAGTTAGTTTTGTTTTGGTCACTGGACAGAGGCCACAGTTTTTACGCATAAGAACATATAGTTTGAAGAAACTACATCGATAGCGTTGACACTGTTTAGCATAGCGTCTATAGATCCGATCTTCAAGTTTGTTTGTTTATTTAATTTGCATGCTAACAACTAACATTCAATTTTAATTTTAATTGTAGTTTAGTACTCGGTAAATTTCACAACTTTTTTTGTTTTTTATTTATGCCAATAACTTATTAACCAATTTAGGTAGCTTGTGCGAATAATCATCATATTACATATTAAGATTTGCATAACGCTCACTGGCGAATAGTTCTTTAATGCAATGTTCAACTAGGCAGCTTGCGAATTAAATTAGCTGATTATATTGCTATTAGTTTTATCATCTTTGTTTCTCACTTAAATCAAGGCAAGTTTAATTGAAATACGCATTTCTGATTCTATTGTTCGGTTTTTTTTTTCTCAATATCTTATCATATACATACATCAAAAAGATTATGTTCTTAAAATTCTGTTTTTCTTTTTGTTGAGTTAAATTGTTGATAGCATAGGTTTTACTGGCGACATTTAATCTAAGAAATTAAGTAATTTACGCAATCGTTTGAATTGTTTGTATTTGTTTTTTATAATTTTTTTTTATTATTATTCTTAATAACGTTTTCTGCTGCTATTTGAATTATAACATTAAATTGTTGATGTTATTATTACTATTATTATTGTTAGCTTATGAGAGGCTGAGGAGATATTTAAATATCTGAAGTTGTTGCGGCTTAATTAATTTTTTTTTGTTGCTGCTTCAGTGGGTTGTTGTTGTTGTTGTTAATGTTGATGTTTGTTGTCGTGTGTGTGTCTACGATTAAAACATTTTGCCGAAAATATAAACTGCCCTGTTTTGCGGGTCTATATATATATATATGTGTGTTTACGTGTATATGAGTGTGTGTGTGTGCGCGGGTATGCGTGTGTCTGTCTGTCTGTCTGTAGAGTGTGTGCGTGTGTGGTTGTGTGTGTGTGTTGGCTTTAGGCGCTGTTACAATTTCATAGCGTTATAACTATTATAAATATATCCGATATTATTTAATTTAAACTTGTTTATATTATTGCATGCTGTTTTTGTTGTTGTTGTTGAAGTTTGTAGCTGCAAGTCGCTGCTGCTGCTGCTTCTGTTGTTGATGTTGTTGTTGTTTTTGTTGTTGGTGTTGAAGTGGGCGCATGGCTAATCGATGAAACTTTGCTCCACGCAGGCTTTCACACGCTTCTCATACTCGCGACGATTCTCTTTATAAAGCTGGGCGGCGGTAGAGTTGGCCGGTGAATTGGGATTGGGATCGCTCAGCAGTGACTAGAAAATCAGATTAGAATTAGCAAAATCAGTATGCGTAGAAATTGATTGCATGGTTACCCACCTGTATGGATGTTAATATAGCTGACACATCATATGTGGGACTCCAGCGATTCTGCAATATATCCAAGCATATGCCACCATCTGCATAAACATTTGGATGAAATACTTTCGATACGAATCGAACTGTTGGCGGTTTATTTGGATATTCTTCCGTAAATTCTATGGTTAACTTAAAGGTGCCATCCTCGAACGGTGTATCGTGTGGACCAAAAATCACAGCATTCCATATCATAATATTATTATCTGTTGGCGCACCCGAAACACCCGTTGGTGGGTCCTCCTGAAGTCTGCAAGCGTATAAAATAAAACAAGTTAATGGTATTTTCCATGGGATAAATATTAAATATTCCTATTGGTTTGAGATATCGTTGACTCCGTTAGGTATATGTGCTCTTGATCTGTCTGATTTTTTCTGTCTTACTTTGTAAATTAACTTCTGTCCAAAAACTTAATTACATTTTAATGAAACTTGGATTAGATCGGTCTTTTTCTACGGACTTTGCATTTCTATTTAAATCAGTGTCGTCCGAATCAGTACCCTATATCAAATAGCTTCCTTAAGAACTTGTTCTGTTTTTATACCCTGAACATATGGAAAATGGGCAAAATAGGGGAGAGACGATTTTCGACATATTGCTCATCAAATCAATATCGAAATCCCATCTGTCAGCATATCTCAGAGCTAGAGACACCAAATTTGATATGAAGACTCTCGTATAGTAAATACATTCGCCTGCTTACTCCAATATTGAAGTCTTAGCCAAAAGTCAACAGATACGTGTCTTTATGCTTCAAAATTGTTTATTTTATATGTCTGTGCTAGGGTATTTGTTGTTCGGTATCCCAAATCCTTGGCAAATTAAAGCAATGTGAATCTATAAACGCATTGCACACAAATCAAACTAGACATTTGAGGTCTATATATATGAATATTTATATATTAACAGATATATTTGTATATAGAGTAACTGCGTAGCTACTCATGCCAGATGTGTCGTGTCATGTTTTAAAGATATTTCCTCTTGGCTGCGGCGACTGTTTACAATTACCGTTGCCGAGTTCAATGAGCGCCGTGCGCCAATAAATAAAAAATACATAAAATAAATACAGATTTAGCTGGAAAATCAAAGTTGCTATTTATGTATTTGAAAAGCAGACAAAAGAGCGTTGCGCAAAATATTGAAATTACCAAGAAAATTGCATTTCGTAAACCAGATCAACAGCCAATTGGCAAGTTTCGAGTCCCCACACGCTATGCACTGGTTCCCAGGGGCATCGCAGCAGACACTAGACACTATTTAGGTCAAGCATACACAGACACACATGTTGTAAGTATGTGCAACAGCCACAAGCTGTACAAGAAGAAGAAGAGAAAGCAGCAGTAGCAGCAGAGACCAACCGCGCCCTTCAATCGGCTAAATCAATACATATGACAAAGCTCCAAAATGAAATCATCGATTAAACAACAACAAATACAAAAAAAAAATACATATAAAAAAAATATGAAAATAATAAACAAAGAAACTAGCTAAAGCGATAACCAATGAGGTCTGATAAATAAACGGATATTGCGGTGGGTGGTTCTGGACAGTAGAGATGGACGCGGACTGCACTTTTTTAACGTTTGAAAGTTTTCAAAACGTTATTTTATTAAATAATTAAATTTACCATAAGGAATATTTCTAAAATTATTAAATGTTGCTTTGATTATCTTCTTTGAAATATCATCATGATTATTAGATCATTTGCATTTTGAGACATAATTTATATTTATTTCAAACAATTCGTGCGTGCTCGTGTCGTGCGAATATAATTCCCTCACGCGCCCATCTCTACCACTTGGGGTCTTAATTTCTGCTGCCTTGACGTAGCCTTGACATTTACTCTAAGGAAGAGAAACCCTAACAACTTCGTTCCTCCTCCCCACCAGTTATGTTCTTTATGCAATCACTTTATAAATCGGCAGGTACTTTGCAAAAATTTAACCAACTAACGAAATTGAATGACACAACATAGCAACAACAAGAACAAACAGAACGCTGAATGAAATTCCAATAAGACGCTGCGCTGCTCTGCCCGCCTGCGCTGCTCTGCTGCAGAGTATGAGTCAACAAGGTTGCGAGTGACGAAATATGGCAGAGCAGTAGGGGAAATCAGGATGATGACTTTTGTTTTAAGGCAAGCGGGCCGTAGAAGAGCAACAATTTGATTATTGCTGCTCTCATTCTTTCTGCTCTGGTTGGCAATTTTTGGTGTTGTTATTGTTGTTGCAGCTGCTATTTGATGTTTTGTCTGCGACGCAATTGCACAAACGGGAAAAGAATTTTTGTACATTACGCTTTGCGATTGTTTTTTGCTCTGTTTTGCGCAGATTTGGTTTACATGTGATTTCGTTTTGTGCTATGCTTCAAAGTCAAGTGTCAAAGACGCAGGCAGCATAAGTAGCACTCTTTTTGTTGTTGCTGTAGTAGTATCACCAAATAAAAACCAGCGAAAAAAGGCAACGTACAAACATACACACACAGACACAACTGGTACGCAGGTCACATACACATATATACGATTTGTATTTTGGCTGCGCAAACTTTTCCACGGGTACATATACATACATAGGCATACGTATGTGTATGTACAAATATATGTCGCCCCGTTTCTCCATTTCATACCACGACAATTGTCAAAGTGTGTGTACTTTTCTTACCTTTTAAAATCTCTCATAAGACGTCTGCGTGCGGGTGTTGACATGTTCTACAATGTAACTTCCACTTGTGTTAAATGTAAACTATAACGTTTACGCAATGCGATTTTTTATAAACAGAAACAGTGAAATTTTGTAATTTTATTTTTAATTGAGGGCACTGAGCAGCGTAAGAAAATGTATCGATACTTCGCACATACCCAACGATATAATGCTCGATACTCGATATCTTAACGGGCTGCCAGCTTGATGCTATCGCGTAACGATAGCAAAATAGACTGTCCACTTAGCAGCCGCACTCCTCCAGTTAACAGTGCACTCCACACTTACCAGTTGACTTATTTCAAGCAGCCTGTGTTCCCTAAAATTTAGAAATTATGTCGCAATGGCAATTTTTCGAAATGACTGTATGTAGGTGATGTTAATTAAAATCGAATTATACAAATTTCCATTAATTTTTATTTCGATGATTTTATTTTCTAGCAAATACGTGCTGTTAATAACAGTCCCGTCAATAGAAATGTTATGCGCAGTGCTATTATTTCCCTTTTAACATTTCCCTGAAGATGAAAACAAAACAAAATGCAGACAAAATGTTGCGGCAAAAGAAAAAGACGCGCAAAAAGTAATGAACAAATTTAAATTTTGCGTGCAAAAATCAATTTTAACTGCAAAATAATACTGTGTGATAAAGGTAAGTAGTTCAGCCAGACGATGGCAGTGTATATATATTTTGTTAAAGTGTCAAATTGAGAAGAAATTGTTTTGTGTTCCATTAAAGTTTATTTATGAATTATATTAGCACTAATATAGAAAAATTAACTGTATCACAAGCAATAGCATATAGAACATTAAGTATATAATTTAATTAAACTGGAAACAGTTCATTGTAGGTAAAATTCTCCAGGATTTTAGTGGCAATCGCCAGGAACTTAACCTCCAGTGCGCGAGCAATGGGCGCTATCACCTCATTCGTGAAGAGCTCAAAATTCTCATTGATCGTCTGATTGATAACATCTCCCAACACCTTGTCGCCATTGAAGAGATTCTCCAGACGCAAACGCCCTTTGCCAGTGCGTATCTTCAAGGCAAACTCCTTCACCTCAAAGTAGTCAATGTCGTTGACGTTCCTAACGTCGTATGTGATGCGCACATAAGCTACAAAATTGGTAAAGTTACCGACAAAGGGCCCGTTGCCCTTGATGGGCAGTGCAAGTATATTGCCATTAATATCATATTGGCCCTCTCCCTGCAGCAGCGGTAAAAGCAGCTCGAAATCAAAGCGTCTATTCTGTGTGGAGGCGCGCATTTTAGTTATTTCAAAGTTCGACGCACCGTAGATGTTCAATTTTTTGGCCTTGACTGTAATGCCGCTGCTGCCGCCCTCGAGTATGTTCAGGTCACCAATGTAGAGTGGCTCCAAAGCGGGCACATTGATTTCCTTGATGCCCTTACCCAAGTATGGACGCAAATTATGCACACTCTGCCTCACGCACTTGGATAGCTCGGGATCGTTGCGATGACAGATCTTGATATAGTCCGCTAAAAAGAGAAGAGATAAAGTGTAAGATCCGGTAAGTATGTGAAGTTAATACATCCTGTTCAGTTTACTCACGCATGTTTCCTGCACAGGCGTAGCCAAAGCAGCAGAGCAGAAGGGTGGCTGCAATTAATCTGGATTCCATTTTAAACTTGGGCTTGATTTAAGTCACCTGCAAAGAGTGAGTTGCATAGAGATAATGAGTTTGGGGCTATCGTAAAATTCCAAGTAAACTTAACAACCTTGACTTCAGCTAAGGGCTCTGCTAATTTCCGATCATTACAGACTTTGCAAATTCATGTTCATTACTCTTAAATTTATTGACGTCACATCAGCAAAGTTGGTTTACTAATGGATGACAATTTTATTTGCTTTAGACGCATTCACTAGTCAACACTTAAGTGCAACCCCCCAACAATGCAATTCATATAATCATCCGCAAGTCGCTGATTATAGACGTTATGATTACAGCTTTGCAAGCCAATAAGTAGTAGGTATTTTGACGTCGCAATTTGCATACGAAAGGCTGCTCTTGTTTAGATTTCTTCCTACCGACTAATAATATACTGACATTATTTATTATTGTCCATTAAAAATTAAGTACAGAGTGTCTGGTCTGAAGAGCTAGTGAGTTGGGCTCGACAGAGGCCTAGCTGGGGCCGCCAGACGGGTCGCAGGTTGCGGATAGCGAACGGCCTCCTACCGGAGGTTAGCTGCGAATAAGCACGACCAACCGCAAATAAGCAGCCCCGGACAGCCAGCGGATGCGTGGCAGTAACCATGGCATTGACAAGGCGTTTGTGTTGCCGCCTTCAAAAGCATAGCTTCACACACACACACACTCACTCCTGGGCTGAACTAAGGTGTCAGTCGACCCGTGCCGAGAGTCAGCCTGGCTGGGGGCCCAGGTTCAACAAAACTAGCCCAGTCTTCAACGGAGAGCTCAGGCAAGTGGCGACCGCCTGTTCTATGTAGCCTTGCCCGGGTACTGCGGATCTCTGCCCGAGTCGACTGATCGTTATCTCCGCCACTCGTGGGAACAAAACAAGATGAAATCAACTAAACACACCCTAAAACGGGAGTACGGTCCTCCCAATAAACGACCGAGAGAAACAACCAGTTTCGCCAAAGGAAGAGGAGCTCATTGGAGCATGAGCAACCGCTCAGCTGGCTCTAGCAAATCATCGGGCATCAGGCAAGTACCAACAATGCCTGGCCAACCCGGCGGCAGCCCGATTGTAAGCCGAAGACCAGCTAATTTTTCAAGGCCCGACCCATCAAAAGCTACCAAATTTGATGAATCCAAGGCCAAGCGCATATTAAAGCGTAATGCAATTGCACCGATTACGGAAGATCAGGCTTCGTCGAGGGAAGATTATCTGAAAATTCAAGAGGATATCGCATGGGCAAGAGCTGTGCTTCCAAACTTTGACTGCGGCTTTACGAGCCAGCGTGATGAGCCAGCAGATGTCGAACCCCTGGTGGAGACTTTGATTGTGGAAGTTAAAAATACTACGCCGAAACGACCCCGCGTACTAGAAGAGCCACCCAGAAGATTAGATCCATTAGATGCAGATGATCAGATAAGCAGCCATCAGCACGTTGAGGCTTCTGCTTCGAATCGCGTCCGGTCGCATGAAACTCCCTTGAGACAATTTGCAAAAGTGGCAAGAGGACGCAAAATAATCGGCGTCATCGACAACAGCCAGCCAGATGGTAAGATCCCCCGAAACCAATGGGGTTGGATTCAGGCCTCGATGGCTTCCGTTGCACTGGATGTATTGCGAAATAACCCAGGTCTGCCGCCATCGTGTACGGATATTGGCTGGTTTCAAGGAACCACAAAGCTAATTGCCTGCGACAATGATAGATCTGCCCTGCTTTACAAAGAGGCCATTACCAAGATTGGCGAAGTATACCCAAGCGCGCAGTTAGAGGTGATTGATGTGCAGGATATTCCGTCGCGTCCTTGGGCCACTGCTTGGCTACCAGAGACACCCTCAGAGTCCAGGGACATTCTGGAGCTGATAACCACGTTCAACCCCGAGCTACCGACCAGTGACTGGAAGGTCATCAAAGCGGTCAGATTCAGGGAGGCTGCGATGGAGGTGATATTTCAAATCAGTCACGAATCAATCCTATACCTAACCAGGTGCGATGGCCAATTGAGCTATGGCTTCAATAAGATCCATATGAAGTACTACAGAACACCCTGCGAAGCGCTCTCGAACCTGGAAGCATTTGCAGCGGCTGTCGATCCGCCCAGCGATGATGAAATGGAAGCCAGGGACAGCCATTTACATGAGGACATTAGCGGCTACTTATCATCAGAGTCTGACTGTGGAGGCAGTCCTCACAGCCTCTAGTAGGTAACCACCTACAACCAACCCAAAGTCAACTGCTAACTGGCCTAACCCAGGCCGAAACCTTTTGAGCCCGACTGCGACCATTCCACAGAACATTATTATGGAAATCCTAGACACACGAAAGTTAAATAAATGAAGCCTGAAAACCTAACTGCTGGCTAAACCTTTTTATTTAATTTGTGGATTGTTGGATATTGTTCACTGTATCAAACAAAAATCGGGAATACTTTCAAGTAATTATAGTTTCTTCTTTTTTTAACACATTTGTTTCTTAGGCAACGCACTAAGTATTATTATTTTTTTTATAGATTTTTAATTTTAAGGTTTTTTTTATCTCCAGAACTTTTGCGTCAGGAGTGTAAATAAATTAATTTAATTTAATTTTAGCTGTGGTAAAATTTATATTTTAAACACTTTACTAACGTTTTTTGTCAATTTGTTTTCGTGAAGACCGTTTTATCTGCTCGACTAGAGTGGTTTGTGTTTGTAGTTATAGTAACCCGTCTACAGATCGTACTGAATGCAAAATTGTTGAGTCGTTCGCGTTTTATAGCGAAAATTGACGCTTCGATTTACATGAGCGCGTCGCTGGCGAGCTTAGAACTGGGCAAACGTAGAACCCCAAAACACGTTGAGAATGCCCGGGGCCAAGGGAGAGACGGTGGCAGACATACGCTGGGGGTTAATAGTGAGAACGAGATGTTAAGCGGCTGCGGGTTAATCATAATAATAATCTTAATGATCGCATTCACACAAATGTGTCTCTGTGTTTGTTTGTGCTACCTGGCGATACCCCGCCTAAAAGGAGAAATAAAATATAAAAAAAACTGCAATATGGCTTTTCAGTTAATACCGCGAATAGCCCCTTTTGGTAAGTGATAATCTGGTATGCCATTTAATAGATTGTTTTTGTTAATATTGTTTTTGTTTTAGGCTTTCTAGAACGCACTTTGGGCCGAGCGTGCAGTTGCGCAATTAGAAGATCTTTCAACAGGGGGCCGATCAACTCGTGTTGACAACCTGCTGGGTTTTTGTTTTTAAATTTGCATCGCCTGTCTACTAAATTTTATGTAATTTCACTGAAGCTTCTCTGGAAGGCGAGGCTATGACCAGAGGGTTGACATGGTTCACTGCGACAACTGATGGGCGTCCCGCGGAGTTGAGACTGTTATGGCAAAAAAAAAAAAAACAACAACAAAAAATTGTTCGCCCACACGCAAGTGGACGAGTTATTAGAATTAGATTATACTAATGTAAACGTTAAAGGAAATCTGTTCAGACCTTCGAGTTGAGTAATTCAAACACGAGCCGTTAAAATCGATTACGACAACGAATACGCTGGGATTAAGAAAGAACTATTAACACTCTTTTACATGATAATGGCATCTACTTATATAAAAGTAAGTTTTCTTATGGCTCATACAAATTTAGTTTCTCGAAAAGAATACGAGTTTTTATAAAAGTAGCATCATTTTACTTTCTTCAATTGGCACTGAATTTAGTTTCCATTTCGCCCTCTACGTTTGTCTAAATGCCACGGCTTGGATTCTGGGTACTTAAATCGTTTTGTGTTTTTTTTTTTAAATTACACGTCTTTTTTTAAATTTTGTTTATTTGCTCACAAATTAATGATTAATTTTCAGTTTTATTATAAGCCTCAAGCCATAATCATTATTCTTGATTATTTAAATACTTTTAAAATTAATGATTATGGGCTGAGTTTTGTTTTTATTCGCTCAGAAATAAATTTCAATAGTGGATAAATTAAAACATGTCCTATGAAATTGCACAATGAACGAAAAAAAACATTTAAAAATTTTAAGAAATATTGAAAAAATTCCAAATTAAAAAAACCAAATTATTTTCAATATATAGGAAATTTAAATCATGTGCATACGTAAAGATTATCTAGAAATGAGCAAAGTAATATCAATTTTTTGTTTAATGATTTTTCTAATCATTTCATCCGATACCTGCTTGTTACCCATTTAATATACCCAACCCATTGAAAGTAAATCGTTTGCTTTCAAAAGCTCGCAATTGCCTAAAAGTTTCTTTAGTTCCATTTTATGCCATTAACAATTATCTACATGCCGCACATCATTTTGTTGCTTTATTTTCAGATTGTTTAACATTTCTCCATAGTTTTTCATTCATTCATTCATATTGTCAAGACCTTCAATTTGCATGTCGACCCTCACATTACCGTGCGATCTAATGATAATGGTAAGTCAACGGTTAACCCGCAATTGCACTTACCTAATACCAAATTAACTATATAAAAATATAAGCATAAGCCGAGCTATTTCGTTTTGCGGCGGATATTAAATAAGCAGCAAGTGCATAGATTAAATAAGGCACACTCACTTTTTTAAATATGTTTCGTATAATTATTTTATTAGAGAGTTTGTGTTGGTTTTTTTTTATCTGGGTGAATTTGTGTTTTGTTGCAATAAATTAGTGCTTACTATATACTAGTACTCGTCGGAAGTCTAAATTGAAAAGACTTAACTAGTTCAAGTTGATCCACTCGTCCAGCGGTATCTTGGCGAACAGGCGATCCATGAAGTTGCGTATGACGAGGGTCAGTTTGGTGCGTAGCGCGGGTTTCATTTCCTTGAGCAGCTCCTGGGAGTTCGAGTTGATGAACAGATTGAGAGCGGCCTCTGCAGTGGGAAAATCCACTTTAGATCTGTATCTTTTGGGCCTTTTTGAAAGATATATACTCACGTATAACCGAGTTGCCGTTGGCTATGTTATCAACGCCCATTTGTATATCCTTAACATTGAAGTCCATTTTGACCGAGTCGGTGGTCAGATATGTGCGTCCGTCGGCGCCCTCATTGGCCATAGCCTTGAAGTAGATCTTGGCCTTAACGCCCTCTATAAGACGAGGAGGTGTGGCCAGCACACGATTAGTTTACGCTATAGTCAGTTAGACACACGCCCGCTGTCGCCAACTCACCGTACTCGCCCCAATAGTCGCCGGCACCGGAGGCCTTTACCAAGATCAGCACACCTGTGGATCGGTATTGGGCCTTGACGCGAATGCGGGGTATCTCGCACGTCAGCTGGAACTGCAGCGAGTCCAAGTCGGAGCTGCAAGTGACGGTTGACAATGGCAGTGATAATGACACAATGATGATATATCTGTTCAGGCTAGGCATAAAACTGCAAGTTCATTGCTGGATGTGCTAATGTATTTGCATTATTTATTTTTTATTTAATTTTTCTAATTTTTATTTTAATTCAATGTCGCACTCGTGTGTGGCAACTAACTCCACCTCGACCTTCGTTTCGGGTTCACATGCGACACTTGACAGACTCGAGACGACAAAACTGGTGCAAACTACACAAATAACCTGTACACTCAGAGAAACATGCAGCTGTCAATTCTAGTTTGACTGGGAAAGAGTTCTTTATAAAAATAAGAGAAAAATTACCTGGTAGAAAATTATTTTTAAAATAATATGATTAAGGGAAACGGCAAATGTCTTCGTTTGAATTCTATATTTATGTTTTCTACTGAAACTACTTTCTTAAACTTTGATTTTTCGTGCTTAAATTTAGTCGAAAAACACTTTTAACAAGCATTGCGTTAGCCGAAACGACCCTAACAGCTTCTCAATGGAAGTACAACATTTGTTCATTTCATTCTAAATCTATATTTTAAACTGATAAATTTCACGTCTTTTAAACCTTTAACTAAAACTTGTCATGCTCAGCTCAAGATATTTACAAACTTCTTAAATGCCTGGTTTTTTCTCTGAGTGTAGAGCACAGACAGGCGGCTGCCAAACTGAACCCCCCCATGTCAAGCCAAAAACCGAATTCGAAATTGAATTCTAATTGAAACCGGCTGCTGGCTGTTTGGTTGGCCGGCAAGAGGCTACACACAAATGCTTGACATAGAGAATCGCTTTGACCCACATTTTCTTGGCTATCGTCAGCTTTGGCACTTGTTTGGCTCTTTAGATGCTTTGCTATGTAAATGGTTCTAAAGACGTCGTACAGTCTTGTTAAATGCTTGTAAAGGGTATTCGAAATTTGTCGGGAAATGTGTAACGTCACACTGGGATACCACTCGATGTATATATATTCTTGATTGAGCTGAATCTCAAGATTTGTCCAAATCAAACTTGACAATTTCGAGAGTTGGGGAGTTGTTAGCTGGAGCTTCCTTTTGGAGTACGGAAAATTCAATTTCCAAGTGGGGAAAAACTGTGTTCAAAGTTTGCACGGGAGATCCGGACTTAGCTGCCTCAGCGTCGAACTAGCATGCGAGAGATCGCCGGCTCAAATATTTATTTATTTAATTTCTTTGCAAATGGCGAAAGAAAAGGCAAAAAAAAATGTACAAAAAAAAGGATTGGCAAATTTATGGGTCTTAACAATGAGGTGCACCTTTTGAGATGCACAAAGTTTACGGATCGAACGCTCGAGGAAAAAATCTTTTTTTGTGAGCAGCGTGGCGGCAAGTATCCTCTAGTATTTCATACGTATATGTGTACGGCAGACAGCAAGAGTATTTAGTGTTCGACAAACCGAATATAACTGCTCTTTCTTGCTCATAACTGGCACTTGGCTTATTGATGGGTGTCGTTTGTCGTTAACGGAAAATTGTCGTGTGCTTTTCGAGCCAAGTTGATTTGTGTATTGCTCGCGGCTAGGTCAAGGACTTAATGTTGCGCAATCTTTGAGCGGAGGCTGGTTCACAGCACGAGTCACACTTAGATAATGGCTGCCATGCAGAATATATGACACGAATGAATTATTTGTCAAAAGTTAAAAAAAATTACTTCAATTCTTAGTATTCGCATGTGATTGCTATTTGTTGTGGCTGATTCTTAGTTTAGTCATTCTTACGTATCTCCTGCTTGTGATTTGCATTATTTAATCATTCCAACTAATCTTTTGCTTAGCGTTAAACAATTGAATATTCTATTAATATTAAGCTGTGATTGCCCGAGCGACAGTTCCACAAACCTACCCGCCCACGCACGCTGCAATAAAAATTACCACAACTTTAATTTATAAGCTATATACATATATATTTCCAATTAGTGGTAAATGTAAACCCGAAATGCCTAACCCATTGGGGGGCAATTACGTTCCAATGAAAAATCCCAGAAAATGCAAATGTTTAACGCAAATCGATTACTCACTTATTAAAGAGAGTAGCATTTAAGAGCTTGAGGCAGGTTTATAATGATAACTGGAAGTGTTCAACAGTTTTTTTTTTTCATAGAGACACAGACCAAAGAGACTAAGTTTACTCGCAATGCTAGCAAACGGCTTTTCAAGTCATAAAAATTGCATTAATAAAAAAATCTACACGTTTATCCATTGATGGAATGCTTGACTGGGCGTTTAGCAAATATATGTATATACATATACATATGCTAGACGTTTATTCTGTGGCTAAAATAGACGGAAAACAAAATCAAATATTTGGATATGCAACTATGAAATGCCCTTACGTGAAGCACCTTAAATAAGTGTAAAGCTAAGAAGGCTTGAGCGTTGTAAATGAACAATTAAAATGTATATACATTTCTTAGTTAAACAATGTATTAACTTCAGTTAAGCTGTGTAGGATGCCTAACAAAAAGAATTATAGCCAGTGCGAAGTAGTGTATTAGACTGAAACAAACGAGCACCAGGCTATTAAGGGTCAAAGCAATACTAAAAATACTTAATGCCCTCGATCACAGTACAAATAAGTGCGCTGTTGAGTGTGACCCTACTCTTGACTTAACTACTTAAATACATCAAACTGTGACTGACTGACTCACTGGCTGATTGAGCATGTATGTACACATCAAACCATTTGAGTTGGGTGGGTGAAATTTTTACATTAGTTCCGTTTTGGGATGAAATTGAAGTTTTTGGTGCAATATAGTCAGTGGCCGGAAAATATGCGGACTACAGTAATAATCGATTTTTTGGCTTAAAGCGTGATATGTACAAAATCTTTGGGGACGTGTCTAGGCTATAAAAATGTGGGAATAAATTGAATATACCTACCGCACATTGGTAACAGTTATATTGCTAACGCCAAAGGCCTGAATATTACGGAAGAGGGCGCGATAGCCATCCGGGCCGCTGCCCAGCACAATGCCGATTTCATCGATAACCACGGGCTCAATCTGTAGCGAGGGAGAGAGATAGAGAGAGGAAGGTAGAAAAATAGCATTAGCACCAAATAAAGCCCGCCTAGGCTTACCTCGTAAATATCCAATTCGGGTATGCCCTTTTGTAGATAATGCACCAATTTGTTGCCGCTATCACGTAGACACTCGTTAATAGCTGCCTCATCGCGAGGGCATTGCTGCAGATAGTAAGCTGCAAGTGAGAAAGATAAAGAAAGAGAGAGAGAGAGATCTATAATTATTGCACTTGACAGTGTGACCAGCCCCAACTGTGAAGCATTTCCCAGTTCAACGCTTTTTGTTTTTTTTTGTCTTTTTTGCACGTATCTTTTGTTAATACGTTTTCTGTTTTCTTTTTATTTTTATTAATTAAAGTTTCAAGCTTAAATTCAAACATTGCGCATCCGAGTGCAACGAAATTAATTGCAACACGGCTCGCAATGTTTGTGAATTGCTCAGTTCAAGTTCGCATAGTAAAGATCCACACGGGCGGATAAGATCAATCCCAGCGACAGGCGTGAGCATGTTCAGCAATCAACTTGTTATTGCCTGGCTCTGGGCCTGTGAACAAAACTGCTGTGACAGCTTTATTGGCGGTTTCATTAACGTTGAGGGCAGCTGCCACCTGGCAAGTTGGGGGAATGAACTCAACTGCGACTGTGAGTGCCGCCACTTGTAGCATCACCATCAACAAAAGCCTCAGAGCTCCCCAGTATTTAAATTGGTCTGCTCAACGCTAGTTTATTATCTAATACTATTACCTAACTTCATATGTTAACAATGTTTGCTTAAGAACATAATCTCCAGTGTTTCTCGACTTGTACGCAAATTATTTATCTATTTGCATTAATTTATTTATATATTTGCTTAAGACTCAAACAACTTTTGTTATTTTTTATAATCGATGCCCTTTGAAAATGTTTTATTGTGGCGAAGAAAATCTACCACTTCATAAACATAGATCTCATACGAGCTAGAGACTTTGAATACAGGTTCTTCTACAGAAAATGTATTTAAAACTATCGTTAACCGCCTCTTTTCACAAGAATCGATAATTATCGATCAGCTCCACGCTTCTATATCATTAGTTGTAATCGCTAGATACCTTAAATTTTGTATTTAGGTTTTCGTATATTACAATCAGATCAAGAATTGTTCATTCTTTCAAAATCTTCCAGTGTGTCCCAAAATTTTGTATGTCATATTTGGGTCCTTAGAATTAAAACTACAGAAGTTATTCAAGAATAAAATATCTTAAGCTTGTATCTAAAGGGGGGATCACTAACTATGTCAAGAAGAAGGTACGAATTTATATTATGGCCATTTGAAGCAGGGTATCTGCCAGTTGGTCACTCTCGAATAAAGCACTCTTGCTCGTTTATTAGTTAAGTTGAAGTATTTCAAAGCTTCGTCTGCTCTCATTATGTAATAAAGCTGGAAGGCACGTCTTATTGCAATTTCATTTCAAGAATAACATTTCTATGGCCTTCTAAAAATAGCCTGCCTTATAGCTCATGATTGTTAAGCGCTTGCGGCAAAGTGCTCTCAAAACAGTTTTTATTTCAACCATGCCAAATTATTATGAGTGTCTATCTGAGAACTAAGATCATAAGCCCTTTTAAAACTCACTTCACAATTGGGGTTTTTTTATGCCTTGTGTTAACGCAAAGGATGAGACATCTCCGACCCCATAAACTATAATATATTCTTGATTAGTGTTAACTATGGAAACTTTTCTCTGTTTTAAAGCTATCGTCATTTAAGTGCATATGTCGGAAAAGAGTAGATCGGATCGAGTATCATATAGCTGCCTCAGCAATGATCGATAATAAAGTTCTTGAATAAAAACTTTTTTATGTAGATATCATTTGCAAATCTACCATTTACTAGTTTCACTATGTTCCTTGTATATGGGCCAAATCTTATAGCATCGAACCACAATATGTTATATAGCTGCCCTTGGTACGATCTCCTCACATATCTGTAAACCCGTAAGCCATAGTTCTACAAGGGTATTTAAGTTTCGGTGTGCCGTTCTTTCTTGTCTTAGAGCTTGTTTTTGATATGGTAAATTGCAATTCCTGGAAGCGTACGTTAATATCTATCTCTGGCGCCAACTTTCGAAGTGGTGGACACGTTTTGGTCGGGTAATTAAAACCGAATCGAGCGCTACTTAAGACTAGTTAAAAGCGACGTGAGCGCTGTGGACGCCCCGCCCTTTAAGGACTGGAAAGCGTCGACGTAATCCGATAGAAAGCGTTAGACGCAAAGAGCACGCAATTTCTGGCAGTTTCCTAAGGCATTCGGTTATGGATATTTTTTGGCATTACTTACGCTGTTGCTGGGCCCAAATGGCGCCCACTGTGGACAGCAGCAATATAATTCCAAATTTGTGGCACATAATTGGTTGTTGTTGTGGTTGTTGTTTTTGGTAGGTCTGCATGAAAGTACAAGTTAAAATAAATAGTTATCAACGTTGTTTCACTTTTAGTTTGGTTTCATAATTTATTAGCACGTGCTAATTTCTGGCAACTCGTTTTTCTTATGAGTAAGAGCGAAAGCGTTTTAGCAGAATTTAAGTTTTGCCGTACACGAAAAGCACAATGAAACATTCTGTGTATAGAAAATATATTTACAAATTTCACTCGACGCTCGAAATTCTGAAATTCTAGCGCTGGGCTCTCAGCTTGTATGTGGGTCAAAACGGACCAGTTCGCTGCGTTTGATTTTGTTTTTGTTGTGTTTGTTCTTTCTCGACTGTAGGAATTGCTTTCTTATAAAGGTAGCTGCTTGTTGTTGCTGCTGCTGCTGCTGCTGTTGTCGTCGGCTGTTGCCACTGGTTGCTTTCTTTGCGCTGACTGGCGTCCAACTTTCACGCGACTTGAGCGAGGAATGAGCCAACGCTGCATTGGACCAAGCCATTTAACCGAAAACCCAGCCAAAAGAAATGAACCCGCACGTTGAAAGCACCGCCAAAGGCAGTGCAACGGGCTGAACAAAGGCCACTAAATGGGGCCACACCCACCAGACGCCGCCGTCACATGCAACTACGTCTGCCTAGGCAGGCGTATCTGTATCTGGGCTGGGCCCAGGCCTGGGCTTGGGCCTGGGCCTGGGCTGTACCGCTACTTGAAGGTTAAGTTCATGCCGTGAGCTCTTCGGTCGCTGGCCTTAAAAAAAAAACAGCGTAATGAGTTGTGGCATGAATCATGCGCTTGATTTGCCCAGGGATTAGCTCTGCTTAATCCTGCGTGCCTTGCATTCAGCATGGTCCGATATATCATTTCTAGTTGGTAACTATTTGTGTGCCTCATGAATAGCTGGTAATTTGTGCCCTTTTGTGGGCAATTGGGTGGCTCAAAACTTGCCTTTTAGAAAGGTCAAGTGCTGCCATTTGCCATTTAGCTCACGCTCTTAACATTTGCATACGAACAATAACAGCAACAAAAGGTTCTTTCACTGAATAACAGGAAGGAATGGATATCTTCGCACGCCAAAGATTAAATACCCTAATGGAGCTGATTACTTAAAAGCAGAGCAACGAGTTTGCAGAGAAAGAGACAGATGGGCAGATAGAGTTGGCTATACCGAATCGTCTGTTACACTGATCAAGAATATAGTCAAGTATTTTATGGGCTCGGAGATGTCTCCTGTTAGGCGTTACTCATTTGATGACAAAGTTAGAATACCCCCAACAAGGGTATACAAAAGTTTGTGTTTTACTATATGGCAATCAATCACACTTCTTTATGGCGAGTTCCATTGACACGCCCCAGCTTTAGAATTGCAATTTGCAAAAAGAAAAAAAAGGAACTTGCAAGAACTTTATGTCCACTCAATGCCCAAATGATGCGTTGTGCATTTTAATAATCGAAATTTTTGGCATTTTATTAAATTGTTTTTCCCTTTGTATTAAAATTGTGTAAATTACAATACAAACATAATGTATAAAGCGTACAACACATATGCATAAAATAAAACGAAAATCGATTGTCAGGTTCCAAAAATGGTTGCATACTTTTGAGCGCAGCCGAAAATGCAGGTGCTACAGTCGCGTTCCATACATTAGACCAAGTGCGAATAACAATTACAGGTTTTGTTGGCAACGGTCAAGGTCATTTTTATTGGTCATTGTGCTCATTGTGGTTTGTTTATCTTATGTTGTTGAGAGTTTTCCTGTTGCCAGCCGATATCCTTGAATTCGTATATGTTTTGTCTACATTGCAAGGAGAAAAGTGCAAGAATATATTTAAAAAAGGTTTAAATACTAATTAAGAATCCAAAAAAGTGTACCAAAATGCGTTTCATATGAACTAGAAATTTACACTTCCTTGACTTTCTTGTTTATTAGAACTGTCTGCTTATATGGTAATCTATTTGTTTTAAAGTTCAGTAGCTTTTAGAAACTAGTTGTCACCGATAGTGAAACCGGCAGGTGCTAATAAAGCTAGAGCTAAATATTTAATTTCTAATAGTTAGTTGCAATCCATTAAAATCCAGTTTTATGGAACCTGTTTCCTTTAAGCTATAGCTAGAATTAAAAAGAGAGAACAAAAAATTGTATAATGTGTCGCCAGCTCTTTATTTATTTGCACTTAAGGTCTCACGTAGTGACTCGACTGTTTATTCATTATAAGTATTTTTGTAATAATTAAGTAAATACTTTTGGTAATTTCTTGGAAACATTGTTCTGAAAGTGTTGATAAATGTTTTGTTTTAATATGCCATAGCCATTGGCAGTTAGAACAAAGCCGTCTAATTATTTAAATAACAATGCGAGTACTTTAGACAAAGGCTTGAAAAATGTTTTCCTGTACCATTTACTATTCATCTATTTGCTCTGGGTCTCCTCTTTAAGTATTTCTCACTATTGTCGTATGGTTTTTGGTATGCGGGCACTCGTACACGAACTCGCATTTATTATGTGCTGGAATCGACTTTAGTTTTGCGTGGATGGGCACTTGCCCGCTCTCCTCCCCACTTGTCACGGCCATTGTAAACAGTTTAAGATCGGCGACAGTCAAAGATCAGACAGTGCAAAGTTAAACTTGTGCGCTTCCCCCTGAGTTGATCGTTTAATTTGTTTACCAAAATATAATATATGAAGAATCTATTTATTTATAACCAGCCCACATATCTGAATACCAGAACTTAAATGTAACTCTGAACTATGTTAACGAACACAAATATTTATCGTTACATACAGAACAGAAACTGGTTACGATAGGCAGCTGGAAAAAACCTTAGAGAATAATTTGTTATATTCATATTAGAAACGGCAATTTATTAAATTATATAATTATATTGTGCTTAACTATGTTATTGAATCTGAGCTTTATCTTACTTCTTTTTAATGTTTTCTACACATGACTTTGGCACAGAAATAGAAATAGTTGAAAGATGATAAAAGATTACAAATTATAGATATTCAATTTGTTTGGTCAGGGTGCTCTTGTGGTTACTTGTGCTGAGGTCAGTTGCTTATAGGGAAGGTTGTTCTGTTGGACAGTTGTCAATTGCGGGGTGTTTGTTGAGCCGTGACTGAACAGATTCAACAAACTATTATATATACATATGTTGACCGTTAATTGCAACGGAGAATCTCCAAACTTAATGATTTGCACTTTGACACATATCAAGAAAAAATTTAGAAAAATAATTAACATTTTATTCTAAACGAGTTGAAGACAGAAATTTACAGTCCATTACGAAAATTGAATAGCTTAATTACTAGTTATGCCAATCGGCAAATGAGAATACAAAACAAACGAAAACAAGAGTGCTCTAGGCGAGGAGCGCGACTATAAGATACCCTGTACCTAGCTGTCTAACGTTGATGTTTATTGTTCGATTCTCATGGCATTTGAATGTGCGTAAGTACCACATATATAGACTAAACCTTTCGAGTGGTTACATAAGCGCAATATACCCTGTCATTCTTAATTGATACAGGGTATAAGACAATAATCATAATTTTGGTAGACGCCGCAGCACAGAATCACGTGAAGACTCCAGCTGAAGAGTGAGGCGGAAAAGAGACCTTTAGACACCTTTACTAAACACCAGTTAGCAGTCAGTAAGTCACTTAGTCATTCAGTCAGTCACTCTGTCGCCGTCGCCGTCGCCGTCGCAGTCGACGTCGCTGCTAGCGGAGAGCTGGGCTTTGCATTGAGCCGTCTCCTCTTTGAAGGGGGCTTTAAAATCAAGCCGCGACGATGCCAACGTTCACAGTTGTCGTTCTCAGCTGCGCGTTGTTGGTCGTCGGTCGCGAATCGAGTTGCATAAATTACATAATTATTGCTTATTTGTTAATAATATTGTGATTGTTGTTGTGCGCAGCGTGTCGTGTGTTAATTGTTTCTATTTTCGTATTACTAACAAATTAAAATGCTGAAATATTTGTGCATTGTGGCTGCTCTCATGCAGCTGATCTGCTTTACACAGGCCGAATCGCGTAAGTTCTGAAACGATCCAAATTTTGATACAGGCTAAGAATTCAAGTGTACGAAAGCTCAGATAATTACATATTAATATGTATAATATGTGACGAGCTAAAGGGAAATAAGTGTCTAATCTCTGATTCTCTTTCAACTTGATTGAGCAACAAACAATTTAGTATATACATTATATAGTATATCTTATTTGAAATGAGATAAATAAGATTGTTGGCTGCAGTTTCCTCATAGATATAGAAGTTGTTAAAATTTGTGCTTTTTCGCATTATAAGATTATTTTTTTTTTACTTGACTTGTAAAGATCAATTATTTTTAACATATAACAACATGTTAAGCATGAACTTTTATCAATACTAAAAGTTCTAATATTCATGTCATATAGATTGTGTCTATATTCATTTAAAAAACTGCACGCGTACAGCTCAGTTTGTATGAAGTAAACAGTAAAGTGCATTGTGATCTTTGCTAAGCACCTTTCTATAGCCAAAAAAAAAAAGTCCCATTCCATTAGTAAAGATAGACAAGTGGGCTAATTAGCTTGAAAAATGTGGGTGTGCACAAGACGAGTTAACGATATTTGCAATTAACATTTACAGCTCTTCACATCTGTCTATAGTTTTAATGCAAAAGTCAAATGTCAAGTGAAGCGCAAATCGATCTTAAATATTATGTACATTTTGTGTGGTTTACAGCTAAGCGTGTGTTAATTGCCTGAAGCGACACCGTTTGCGGTACAAAAACTCGGGCAGGGGTACAATGTGAAGAAAAGCTCAGACAAAAATAAAAGACATACTTCCGCATCCACAAAAGACGCATTGAAAATTCAAACTATGAACCAAATCCATATTTAATGAACGCAACTTAAACACAAAAATAAATAAAACAAAGCATTTCGTTCAAGTTTCCGTTGAATAACCTTCAACTTGAATTTTATGCTGAGCTGCAGTCGCGCCGCTAATGATCAGCAGCTGAATATAAACCATATTTAATGATATAGCAATGATCTGTGACGGTCGTGCAGCACATAATATCACATTATATAATGGCAGACAGGTTCTTGAGCGTTGCATTTTAAAGACCTTGGCTTCGCGGCCTTGCCGGAGATCTCGCACTTGGTCTTGGCCAGGCCCGAACATGAATTTAAGTTGGCCGATTCTGGCCAGAGTCGTTGAACTCTACACGAATTGAAAACATAAACGGAAACTGAAATCGAAATTGATTTTTGTTTAAACAACTAAGTGACCAATATTTTAATGCTTCTTCTTGTTTGCTCAACAGCTGCGTACATTAAACAATGCCGTCGCGACGATCCCAAGCTCGTGGACTGCTTCAGTGCTGCCCTGGAGCACCTGAAGCCCTATCTGGCCAGCGGCATACCAGAGATAGAGGTGGGTAACCCTTCGGCCTGTACCATGTGGCATGCCCCATGCGCATATTTGCATTGCCAAACGAGTTGCAGTTGCATAAGGCACAACATGGCAAATGCCAAATGCGGCGCTTGCGCAACATTTCGCCAGTTGCCAGTTTCATGTGGCAGCTGCCACTCAAGTGCGGAAATTGTTTGTCTCGATTCGTTTTGCGATTGCAACAATTGTGGCACATTCATCGACTTTTCCTAACTGCCTCTCCCTCTTCTTTGCAGCTGCCGTCCGTGGAGCCCTTCAAGATGGACACGCTGGCCCTACAGCTGACCGAAGGACCGCAGGGCTATAAGATAACGCTGAAGAACATGGAGGCCTTTGGCGCCAGCAACTATGAGGTGAAATCGTTAAAGCTCGGCGAGAATGGCGGTGAGCCCTTCAAGGCGCGCATTTTCATGCCAAAGCTGAAGATCGAGGCCAACTACACCAGCGCCGGCGTCCTGCTGATTATACCCGCCTCTGGCGGTGGCGATTTCCATGCCGTATTCAATGGCGTCACCGCCGATCTGACCGGCAAGACGTCCGCACGCGGCAAGTACTTGCACGTGGACTCGCTCAGCATAGTCCTGGATGTGGACAAGGTTACCATGAGCATCTCGCGCGCCTTCAACAACAATCGTATTCTGCGTAAGTGGCATTTAGATGCATCCTTAAAAGCTCTTATATTTCTAAACATTTTCTGTTATATTTTTAGTGGAGGCTACCAATCTCTTCCTGCGTGACAACTCACAAATTGTCCTGGAGGCAATGCAGGCGCAGCTCCAGAAGAAGTTGGCCAACGAATTTGGCAAACTGGCCAATCAACTGCTTAAGCACGTTCCTATCGACCAGTTCTACGAGAATTAGTCAACCTATGATAAGGACTCTTAACTTTAAGTTTGGTTTTTAATTAATTGTAAAATACTAGTTATTGCTATGAACAAAGTATTAAACAATTTCCTTACATACTGTAAACAACTGACTTTTCTCATCTGCCCTCTATATTTCCCTTCTTGGGGGTACGGGTCAAACGGGTTTGCAATCGGAACAAAACTGCTAACTAGGCTGGGTTCGCGAAATTTTACCATAAATTCAGCTGAAATACCAGGCAAACAGAAATGCACAGCAGGTAAACAAGCGATTTTCAAATGAAAATGTTAAGCTGCTGTTAACTTACATGCCTGCTACATCGACTGTTAAGTCGGCTGTTAAGGCGCAATTTCAAAATTCAGCTAAAATACCAGGCGAACAGGAATGCACAGCAGGTAGACAAAAACTCAGCGGAGAAAAAATGTGTTGCATACACTCAAGGGACACCGTTGGCAGCCGTTGGCTGGCCACATTTGAACAAAAATTTGGCTGAAATACCAGGCGAACAGAAATGCCCAGCAGGTAGACAATCGATTTTCAAATGAAAATGTTAAGCTGCTGTTAACTTACATGCCTGCTACATTGACTGTTAGGCTGTTAGGGGGGCATTTGCGAAATTGAGCTAAAACACCAGGCGAACAGAAATGCACAGACGGTCACCAATATTTTTTCGAATGAAAAATTTAGTTGCATACGCGCAAGGTTCGGAAATGTTAGGCTGCTGTTGACTAACATTAATGTTAGCTAGGCAGCGGTTAAGCAGCAGCCGCTGCTAATGTTACAGGGGTGCAGCAAATACGGCTGTTAAGAATCTTAAAACTTAAATATCTCCGCTATTTTTCGTCCGATATAGGAGGGATACACCTCTTTCGACTCGTACGGACTAGGAACTTACGAATAAGCAATCCAAAAGACGAAAGTCGTGTAAGCAGCTGAAAAAAATATAAAATAAAAGATCCGCCTGGTCGTTTTTTTAATGTTTCTTTTTATTAAATATGTAGAAGTATTTAGTTTTACAATTGTTCATCTTTAGTTATGTTCGTACACCTATGTACATACGAGTGGCTAATTAGGTTTTCCTTTTCATTTAATTGAATTCGAGTTGTTTTTGGGTGTTGTTGTTGTGGCATTAATGGGGGCATTAAAAATAAGTAGAAAGCAACAACCAATCCTAAGTCGTTCGGTTCTAGTATTGGTCGAAAGTGCTCCAAATCTGCAGTTGGAGTAAGTGTAAGTAATAATCACTAACTATTTATAGCTAGGCAACATTTAATAAAATGCTAACTAAAAATGTGAATTACATATAAATTAAAAAAAAAAAAATTCGTAAACTGCAATTTTTGAGAAAATTAAATTATTTGCCCAACAAGAGGTTAAATGGCCAACATGCAAATCCAAAGATGTTATTTTGGTTTTTGTAAAACTAGGAATAAAGCTAATCAAAATGGAACTATTCTTGCCAAGTGTGCAATTATACCTTTCACTTACCCCCCAATTGCAAACATATATGCCTTGTACGAGTACTCTGTATATACAGTTTTATATATGGAGCTGTGTTGCTGATTTAGCTGTTGTTTCTCTACAAGTTTGTTGTTGTAATGCATTGTTATCATATTCCTATTTCATATCGAGAATTGCTCATCCAGAACAAGTTTCAAGTAAAAATCTATATAGTTATACATACATTTCATTTCTACAATGGAAAAATTCTACTATTTGAAATTATTTGTTGGGGGTTATTTTTGTATTATTTGTGAATTCGTTATGTATATCTTTTTGTTATGCTTTTAGTATTAATTTTGGTTTTTCTTTTTTATTATTTTAGTGAATTTTGATAATGGGTAATTTTGTTAAAATGTTCGGCCTGGAAAAAGTGCAGCTTGCCAAGGCTTATAAAAAAATATGTCCGTTTACTTACTGGCTCATATAAAAGTTGATCATTCTTGGGTATATCATTATATGTATGTCATAGACAGCTAGACTGTTTATATAAAAAATGCGCCGTATAAAATGCCTCAAACTTTGCGCTGTCTTTTGGTTTTTTCATCTAGTTTTGGTTTTGTTGGAATGGTTATAGGTTAGTTTTATATATATATATATATATATATATATATATATTATATATAGTATGCTATCCATTAAATGTATGCCATATTAATATGAATTTTGATTTCAGATTTGTTGTCATCGCAGCCTTCTATTGAAGCCAATTGGTTGGAACTTGAACGTGAACATGAATGAGTTTAAAAACCGTGATAGAACAGAAGAACAATTGGAACAACCAATCGAATTTTGGAATTAAAACGATTCCATTTCCGCTACAAAATAAATTGTGTTCATTTTTTTTTTATTTTTTCTCACAATGAAATAAGCATTAAATATAATTTGTATAATAAACATAAGAATTGTTTTCTCCATTGTAATGCATAATTAAATCAAATGCTCGAGAGCTCGAATGCTATCCACGAATTTGTTAATTGTTTTCGATTTTTGTTTTTCTTTATATATAGACTCGTACGTAACTTGTGCCGATTGCGCGCTGTTTACAAAACTAAAGGTTCCTCGGTGTGTATGTATGTATGTGTGTGTTTGTGGTGTGTCTGTGTGTGTGTGTGTGTGTAACTAAAAAATATAATTATTTATGCTTTATAAGTATGTACGTGTATGTATGTATAATATAAATTTATATATATATTTATATGTATAATTTATAGTTCTTACTTGACATCTGCCTTATAGCGTTTGCCTGTCCGTCCTCCCATGCTCACATCCTTGCTATCATTCTATGCTTTTTACACAAATTACAAATGGGTTTTTCCGTTTTTTTTTTCAGTGTATGCTTTAGCTAAGTCCTTAGCTTAGTTTACAATCTTTAGCTGTCGAAAAATTTTACAAATTTCTGCTGCTCGCATGTATAGTATATATATAATGTATATTTCTTTAGGATTTAGTTTAAATATGGTAATATTATTATTCAACGCCAGTTTAGTATGCACTTGTATTCGAGTGGCTAAATAAAATATACAATTTAAAAAGTTTGTTATTTTCGTCTGCTTTTTGGCAGATTTGAAATTTGTGTTTGCGTTTTGCGAATCTAGCGGCCTCGTGGGTGCCTTTCGAACTACCAGCAAAGTATTTTAATATAAAAACCAATTTCAGACAAATCCTTTTTACTTTGTGTTCCTTTTTAAACTACACTTTGCTTAAGTCATAGATGTTTCTTTGTGTATGCATTTTTATATAAGTTACAATTGTTAACATTTGTTTTCTTTTTGCATTTAATTTTGTAAATTGTTTTTTGTCGGTTTACTCGAAAGTGTTTCACATGCGTGCAAAATGTTTTTACTGTAAAAACTAGCAATATATTTCTATATATATAAAGAGTATATGTATACATATACACATATTTTAATATTCATGTAGATAGCGCTAGTTGCGTTTGAAATTTCACTGTCCTGCTGGTTCTTCTTCTTCTTCTTTAATCTCTACACACATTTTATTTTACATATACAAATACATCGTATATCATATATAAGTATTTAAAATCTGCTTTGACTGCAAGTCATAATCGAGTGTAATACATATATAAATATGCACATATATACTTGCCTGTGTGTGTGTGTGTCTGGGTGTTTAATAAAGGAGCTTGTCTTAGGCTAACTACTACAGCTATGCAGCTTAACGCGTGTGTAAGTGTGTGTGAGTGTGTGTGAGTGTGTGTTATACAATACTTCTTTAACTATGCAGAACTTGAGAATCTAAATACAGAGTTTTTGTTGAATTATGAATTATGTAAACTAAAATTAATCAGTGCATTGCGCTCTGTAGACAGGCAGTTGATTAGTAAATAACTAAAAAAAATATAAATAATCAAAATATACCCAAAAATACACAACTATAATACGAAAATTATTGCTGCGCCAACGCTTGAAATGCGCTCGGGGCATATGCATGCTCTGTGTGTGTGTGTGTGTGTGTGTATGTTTGGGAGTGTGTGTGGAGAGTGTATGGGTATAGTCTGAAATTTACACAAAATTACATATGCTCAATGCTGGATTTTCATATATATACAAAAACACGTGTGTGAAAAAAAATATGTGTTAAACAATTTTAGTTTGCATTACAAATTTTGTGTGTTTAAAGAGCAAAACCGACAAAAAATAAACAAGTTAAATAAAATTATGCACAAATTAAGAATTTAAATTCGTTTTTCAGTGTCGAATAAGGCGTCGAGAAATATTCTAAATGTATATATCAAAATGTACAAAAATTCTGACTTTTTACAACATGTTTGAGTGTGTGTGTGTGTTACATACATACAATACAAGCTTGGCAATTTACAAGTGTGTGTGCGTGTCGGCGTGTGTGTGTGTGTGTATTAGCACAACGAATGCATTTCAAGCTGCGCAGTTTATATATCTTTAAAAAAATTAAAATACAACTAAAACAGCGAGCGTCAACATGGCTGCTGCCAGTGGCTGCACAACTGTAAGCAGATAGCGCGTAAGCAGTGCAATCGTGTAGCACTGCTTGCATGCACACTGCTTTCCGCACAGCAGCCGCGAGAGCTCAGCACGTGACGAGTTTTTACATAGAGAGAAATATTTATAATAATATTATTATTTATATGCATTATAAGAAAGGTGGGCTAACTAACAATGACTTAAAAGTGGATTTCGAATATATTTGCATTTATGGTATTAATTAATTTGTTTTACATTTGTAGGTTCTGGTTGAGAGTGAATTGCTTGTTAAAAAAATATATCTATATATCTTTGAAAAATCGTTATAACTAAAAGAAACTTAAAAGAGAAATCATAAATCAGTAATCAGTTAAATCTTAGTGGCTAAACAGAAAAAGAGTTCGTTTCGACGGCCCGAAGAAGCGCGTTTCTACAATTCTATATATATAAATACAATGCGTGTATATGTGTGTGTGTGTGAATGTGTGTCTGTGTGAGTGTGTGTGTGGGGGGCGCTTAAAACGAAACAATTTACAAAATACAAATATGAATGTATATATATATATATAGTTTGTATATAGACATATGTATAGAGCATGCTTTAATTGCTAAAATGCATGCGTATTTTCTTTATATGTGTATATATATATATATGTAAATGTATGTGAGTGTGTGTCTTCTTTGAATTTGGGTATGTGTGTGTGTTTTTTTTTTTAACAATATTTTGTTTTTGTTTACAAGCAATTTACAAACAAATGTTCGATTAAAATTAATGAGAATTTTACAAAACAGTTTTGAATTTTACAAGTGAACAAATTGACAAAAAAATAAATTTAATAATTATTACATTGTTTTACATGGTTTCAGTTTTAGTTTTTTTTTTTGTTTGTTTGTTTTTTTTTTTGTACAAAATTTTACATAGCGCAAAAGCGACGTGAAATTGTTGCAAAACGCAACGCTAAAGAGTTCATAATTGTGTGTGTGTGTGTGTGTGTGTGTTGGTGTGCGTGAGTGTGTTGGTGTGTGTGTGTGCTGCTGGCTTTTATATAACGAAGTTCTTTACACATATTGAATTTGTTTGCTCTTTAGCCTACATGCTACATTTAAGTTGTTCATTATGTTGTATTGTATATTTTATAATATTTATATATATATATATATTTATATGTATATGTTTGAAATGGTTGCAGTTAAATTCTATGCTTACTTTCTTCTTCTTCATGTGCTCTTCAATCTGTTCTGTTTCGCAACGGAACGTCACGCGCTTTTGTTTAAATAATCAAATTTACAGTCGACTTGCTTAAACATTTACAAATTATTTTGTTTTTCTTTTTTTTTTCTTGAAAAGTTGTTACATCGATAATGTACGCAGACATGATTTTCTTTTGTTTTTCCATTTTCTTTGCTCGATTTTTTATTTCGATAGCTTTTCTTTTCACACATTTTCTGTGACGCAACATTTACAAATAAAAAAAAAATTGATCGCGCAGAATTTCGCGCACTTGTTGCTTTTATCGAGTTTGTGTTTCTCTCAGTGTATGCTTGTGTGTGTGTCAGTGTGTGTTAGTATTACGCACTTTACAAAAGCGTTTAACGATCATATTTTGATTCTTTTTTTTTGTGTTTTGTTACAATTGAATATACAATTTATCGATTGCTCCACAAGTTGGAGTCGATCTCCGCGAGCCGTTCGTGGGCTGAGTTTAAATCATTTTTGTTTTGTTGTGTGTCTGCAGTTTTGTTCTTGTTCTGCGTTGTGTTTATAAATAAATTACATTAGATTTATTTTTATAATTATTAGTATTATTATTATTATGTATATTTTTTTTATAATATTTATAGTAAGCATTCGCTTTGCTTTTACTGCTCTCCTCATATTCCTTTTCCTTCATCCAAATACTAAAAACTAAAATTCGATAGCGCGCCTCGCAATTCGCCACTTTACAACACTCCATTGGCTGTTGTGGGTGGCCCGATGGGACCGAGCCCGCCGACCACCACAGTGCCGGACGACTCCGAGCTGGCTGGCGATGTGGGCTCGGCCATCGAGATGCCGCCATTCTCCTGCACGGCACAAATGCTGGGCGATGCAATGCTGTTGGTGGTGGTTGTGGTAACTGCGCCGGCGGCCACCATCGACGTGGATGAGGGCGCGCCACTCGCTCCGGTTCCGGCTGCAGCGCTGTTTGCTGTGGTTGTGGTTGCTGTGCTGGCCCCGCTGGCGATGCCAGCGCTGGCCGTGGCAGCGGCTATGGGATTGGTTATCTTCATGTAGTACTTCTCCAGCTTGGCATTAATGTGCTTGCCGTAAGTGTATTTGCGCAAGGCGGCCATGTGGGGTCGTATCTTGGTCATCAGCTTCTTCAGCTGCGTCGGCTCCGAGACGTCAATCATCTTCTGCACCACATAGTTGGCATACTGATCCTTCATCATGACGTGCAAGGCACTGCAGGGTGGGAGAGATACAGAGAGTTGACATTCCAATTGATTGATAGGGTTTTCTATTTCGGATACTCACTTGTCATTAAATGTGCACACCTCATCGATGAGGCCGGTGCGCTCGCCGCGCGTGGCATGTGTCACACACTTCTCCACCACGTTCGAGGCGAACTTGTGCTGTGATAGCACGAGCACCTTGCCGCGCACACTATTAATCAGTATCGATTTGTCCTCCTGTTTGCCGTGCTCTGCAATATAAACGAGAAAGGGAATCGTTAACACCATCTACATTTAAAACTACGCCAAGAAATGCATTCTAGACATTTATAACATGGGCTTATCGTAAATATTTATCAGCCAGGATATTATTTTGTTTACGATTTGACCTCAAAACAGTTCTCCTTTATATTTATCTATGCAATTTTTTTTTAAATTAGTTTTTCCCTTTTAAAGTTTAATATATTGTCCTAAAAATCGAAGACATCTAAGCAAACGAAGTTCGATGTGCTCGATTCAGAAACATGTTCGAGCTGCAAATGCATATCGAATGGCTCAAATCGAACACATTTGAGTCTCAACTAGCTCGAACGAAATAATTGGTCGAGTATCAGAAACTGAACCGATTTCTACGATGAATGCCGTTTTGGTCATGGTTGGATCTCTACATTAGTTCTCTATCAAAATTGTTATTATTTAAATAAATAATTTACAAATTTGTCATCTCGAAATTGATTTGTATTTGTTCAACTCACCTAGAACATGTTGTATGACATAGTTGCCATATTGGTCTTGGATCAAGTTCTCGGTATGCTCATGCAGTTCATCCAAAATGGGCGTGGTCTGCTCGGCAGTGCAGTGCTCGAGGATGCGTTGAATGACCCGGCAGCCGTAGGGATGTGTGCTCAGCGAATAGACCTGACCCTTGAACGCATTGATGACAAATTGCAGGGCAACGGGATCGACGCATTCGATGCACTTCTGTACGACATGGTTGCCATTCTGGTCCTTGACACACTTGAGGACGTGTCCGTCCAGCTCGTGAACGATCTCCTGTTGCTGATCGGGCGAGATGCTCTCGAGCGCCTTCTGGATCACGCGACAGCCGTACATCTGGAGCGCCAGCTGCAGCACATGACCCTTGACTTGCATGCCCAGCGTGTTCTTTTGCTCCGGAGTGCCGAATTCAAAGAACTTCTGTATGACATAGTTGCCAAAGACGTCCGTCATCAGGCTGTAGGCGGCGCCCAGTATCTCATTGAAGACCATCTGCTTCTCGGCGGCTGTGGCACGTTCCAGTTTCTGTTGGATGAACCGCGAGCCGTGCTGATCCTGCGAGAACTCGACAATGTGATTGGTCAGATCGCGCAGCTGCAAGTTCGGATAGCGCTGATTTCTGAAATCCTCCAGCAGTCGTGATCTGCCCGGCTGTGGCGCACCAGCTGCACCAGCAGCGGCAGCTGCCACAGCAGCTGCGGCGGCGGCCTGCCGCGAATTCGCCACGGCAGCGGCCACGGCCGCGGGCGTGGTGCCCGGCAAGGCCAGGTGGTTCGAGAAGAGCGAACTGTTCGAGCCAAACATATTGTTGGCCGCGGCGGCAACGGCCGCTGCCGCTGACGCCGCCGGCAGACCCACTGCCATCTGCTGGCGCTGGCGCGACTCGGCACCAGGAGCACGATTGCCGCCCATCAGGCACGACTGAGCCGTCGGCGGCGGTGTCAGCGGTGCGCCCAACGGACTGGCCGAGGCGTTTACCGCCGCTGCGCCAAGCGATCCATACGCGCTCGCATTCGACATGGCGCCGGGCCACTTGGCGCGTGCTGCGGCCGCAGCTGCTGCGGCTTGGGCCACGCTGCTGTTGACCGCATTCGCGGCGGCGGCGGCGGCAACGCTGCTTGTGGTGTAGTCCATGGCCGAGGGGCTGAAGGCGGATGTGGTGCGATCGAACGAGTCGCGACGACCAGTCAACGAGTTTGTGTTCAATGCCAGGCCTGTGGAGGAGAGGAGCAGAAGAAAAATACTTAAATACTGTGTAGGATATGTAAAGCAGATAGATAAAGAGATCGTGATATAGAGAGAAAAGAGAGAGAAGAGAGCTGGAGCGGATCTTAGTAATAATACTATAAGGTCAGGTTCGAGCTTGGAATTTATATATTTAAACTAAACCGAAAGGAGGCATTATTTTATATTCGACACAAATTGGATTTTCGCTGTGAGCTGAAAGCATTTTTAATATGCGAAATGGTCACCCAGATATATTTCAGTGTTGTAAAATGCTAAAGCCCCACCAACAGCTTAACTATAACTATGCTGTTCCCATATTAAAGAACCATTAAAAAAAGGCAATTGCAATGGATGGCAGCAAAGCTGAAGCATATTTCCAACAGATTGTCCATTCGATGTCTCAATTTACTAGCTGAGCAAATCCAAGTGGGTCACTAGAAAGCGACAGAGAGATTCATTCCACAGAGAAACAGAGAGAGAGAGAGAGATAGAGCACGACTTACGGCAGAGTATGCGCTATTTTGTAATTAATCGAGTTACGGTCGGGCTAGTGTAGGGTGCTCGTAAACTTAATTGCCTACTTTTAGGGCGCAGCTGTGGCTCAGTTTGATGCGGCTCAGTAACGAGAAAGAGAGAGAGAGAGAGAGAGGAAGAGGGGCAGAGATAGAGCTGCCCACTTACATGTTTAACTAGCGGGGAGTAAGTGTAGTACTCGTAATGTCAACCATTAAGGAAGCACATATGCGCTCCAAGAGTCACATAGCAAAGCTCTGGGGATATGTAAAAGGATATAGAGAGAAAGAGAGAGAGACACACACACACATATACTCAGGGGAGACGCTTTAAGCTCATATAACAACAGAAGCAAGAGTAGATGGTGGCGGTGGGAGTGCTGCCGACTTGATGGATGCTGTAATATGTCACTGGCATTGATTTGCAGAGCAGAGGAGCAGAGCTAGAGGGAATGCCCAGGGGCAGAATTTATAGGCTGAGTGAAAAAAGTGAAAGTTTTGCGCCTGCAAGAATGCAATCCCGTTTACAACCGACAACTTACAACTTGAGCCGCGGCGCAGGCAACTTTGCGTCCTAATGAATTCATTGCCTGTCGTCTGTTGCACATGCCCCAAAAAGTATGCAGCAGTAAATGCCTGCGGCAAACCATGCAACACGCAACTTTGCCATGCGGCGCCTGGAGCAAGGCGGCAACTGCGAAAATTAATTGCTCAAATTTCTATAAATTTGCCCTTGGCGTGGACTTTAAAAGAGCCATAAAAATAGCAAGCGGCAGCGATTGCCGCCTCCTAATGAAAGGCATACGTTTATATTTATATATATATATATATATATATATATATATATATTTAGCTATAAAGTTCAGCAAGTTTTGCAGTCTAAATGAGGCGCTAGAGAATTACAAAGATTATATCTAAAATGGCGTGAAAATTGGTAAAGTTTAAGAACTTGCGCTATAAGGAGTTAATCAAGCGGATATTAGAAGCTAGAAATATAATTATATTTGTTTAACAGTGTTTTCCAAATAATTCAGTGTTGGAGAAGGGCGTAGACGTGAAGTGAGTGCTATACAGTGTTGTAAGTTGTGCTAATTAAGGCCAAGGTTTTATTTGCTATGTTATCCTTGCATCAGTTAAATGTAATGTTCTGAAATATCAGTGCTGTAATTGTCTAATGACATCCTGAATTAATTTGCGAAAAGCTCAAAACATATTTCAACAAAATTGTTTTGAATGACAAGTGAATTTTTAGTCAATTATATACAATGTTGTAAAATTTCAATACAAATCCTTATTCACTATTAAAACTCGACAATTTAAACAACCTCTTAAATGCTTTCTCATTTTCGCGTTTTCTCCTTTTGCTTTTCTGCATTTCAAGACGATATTCTAATTACAGCAACAAGAAGCGAGTGAAGAAAATGTAAATTCCATAGTGTTGCCATGCAGCCAGTGTTGTAAAATACAATGCTTAATAAATGACATCAACATTTGAGCGAACCGCCGACGCGTCTGGCACAAACTTTTAATTTCTGCATTTAAATTGCATCTAATTTGGCGCACTTCAGAGACGCGACTGCTAAATTCCATTTCAAATGCAGGCAATGAACATGCCAGGGCAGCAGTAAAGGGGATCAGGGGGGGGGGGGGGTTGTGTTGGTTAAAAGGCGGGTTGGAATGGATTATGTAGTACAAACAATTTGCGTCAATGAAAGTGTCGAGTGGGCGGCCAGTAAAAGAGGGTGAACCAGGCAGGAGGTGGGAGCCGGAGTGAACACCTATCCTGGCTGGATGTTTGCCAGTCTCTGTTTATTTTATTTGCTCTGCCCCTGCCCCGCCCCCGTTCAGTATTTGGTGTGCTGCGTGGCAGTTGCAACAATTTAAAAGGGAATTATTCATGCAATTTGCGTGCGTGGGAGTGCCAGGAGAGACAGAAATTGGGATGGGAGAGGAAGAGACAGGCAAGTCGAGTATCGGCAGTCGAAAACAGTCGTAATAATTAAGAGCGGCAACTACCTATCTTCTGCAGTCGCCCCCCCCCTTGGACCACAGTCACACCATCTAATGCTTTGGGCTATGTCTGACACGGCTCGCTGCCTTCCCCACTCCCACACTTACACACTCCCCCATCCGTCTATCTCTCTGGTGGGCGAGTGTGTTGCCTTTGCAAGGACACTTTGCCAAATGAAACTGCAGCATGCCACACACATATGTTGGGGGCATTAAAAAGACGCCCCCGTTTATTGCAGGCGACATTTTGTGGTTTATGCACACGTTCCACATATGAGCAGAGACAGATGCCACCTCATAGACACGCCCACATCCACCAGATGCCGCTGCTCAGCCTAATGTAATCATTTTATGAATTATAAATGCACACACGTGTGCCGACACACACACACATTCACACGCAGGCCATAAAAAAGAAAACGCATTAAATAAAATGTCTTGAGTTATTAAAATGCCCGGAAACTATTGTAAGTGCGGACGACTAAGGAGCTGGCAAGTTTGTAAACATCCTGAAGTATGCTATGAAAAAAGGCACAAAACAGTGTTGAGCGCGAGCTACACAAAAATGTAATTAGTGTTGGAAAAGAGCGCATAAAAATGTAAGCTGAGTTGTGGCATGTGAAGCTGTTATTCAACGAAACAATTTGAATGCTTCTCGAGCGATATCATTTTATCCAACAGAGCTGGAACAATAGGACAAAGAGTGTACTCCAAATATATATGTATACACATATATATATATATATAATAGTTATGGAGCAAATCCTCTCAAATCTAGTATGTATCACAGCTGCATATGAATTTATAAACGACGATACGCTAACAGATCTGTTGTCATCTCTATCGGCAGTACAAAAAAGCTTGGGTGTTCGCTCTAGGCAGCTTTCACTGTATGTAGAGTTCACAGAAGCTTTCAATACGATCAAGTTTTCAGCTGACTTTTACTCATTTATTTGTAGTGCTCGATAGATGAATATTCTAGCAATCGATAAGAAAGTCGCTGGTTCGAATCCACGGCTAGTTCAATACATTTACAGTTCAATCTTTAACCCTCGGCTAAGTTTAACTGACTTAAGTGTGTCACACGTGCGTCACACCCCCACTTCTGGACGCCCCCGACGCCATCCTTCTGCGTACCATTCTGTGGCGCCTGACAATCAGTCAAAAATCAATTAAGTCCATTTGTCATTGCGCTCTTCTTGACATGTATTGGATCCCAACCAGTCCAATTCAAACCAAATCAAACCCAGCCGATTGCGAATTGTATCTCAGCACGTGTCTCGAGCCGCTGCTCTTAAGCATCCCACACAGCCACACAGTACACACATCACGCTCACACACACCCACACAGACACACCCACACACACACCCGCGCAAACATACACAGATGCTGCAGCACAACTCAATTGCAATTAGCACTAAAGCAAGTGAGTCGCTTCTCAATTTCATAGCTTCCTCCCTCCACCCGCAGCATCCTCTTACGAAATGGCAGGCTCGTTTACCGAGTAAACCCACGCCCCCCGCCTTGTAGCTCGCACAAATCCTCCACTCATTACCGTAGTGCTGCAATCGATGCGCCAAGACAACAATTGTAAGCCTCATAGCCAAGTCACGAGTCACAGGCACAGGCACAGCCAAGGGCTTGGCATTCGCCCCCTTTAACCAGCCCTGCCACAAGCCTTCCCCACACCCTTAAAGCCCAAAGCCACGTTCTGCTGCCTGGACTCCTGGCCTGCGTGCAATGTCAAAAAGCTTTTTAATGGAGATTATATTGTTTTAAGTGGCTGCGCAGCGGCTCAACCCAACCCAGCCCCCTTTTGAGCCTGTGCCCAGACAAGCTGCAATTACAAACGTTAATGCGCACACACATATGAAACACAGGGGAGGGGAGGGGGAGGGCAGGGAGGTAAAGCGCACACAACTTGACTTTGCAACCGCCAAACCATTTGGCCGTGCCTTGCAACAATGAGGAGGGCCGGCGAACGGGCGGGGGCGCGGATTGTGCACAGTTGTCGGAAGGGCTTCGCCGGGCTGACTTTGGGTTTGCCTTTGCCTCTTTCCATTTGCCTGGCAGCCTGGCCATGCCCACAAATTATTATGTACACCTTTCACATGTTGGCAACATGTGATTGCATTTGGGGGAAAGTGAAAGCCAGCAACAACAGCAACAACAACAGCAACACAAGAGACAAAGCCAATGCCAAAACCACTTTACGTAAACTCTCGCTTGCATGCTCCTTTCCGCTCACCCCCCCCCCCCCCCCCCACACTCTTACCCACTCTCGTGTGTTGCACAGGGCGCACATTGTTGCTGCTGGTGTTGTTATTGTTATCCTTGTTGTTGTTATCCTGCCTGCTGCTGGCTTTTGTGCAAATGAATTCGTTTATTTTGTAAAATGTCAATTGCTGTTGGGCCACAGACGAGCTGCAGCAGCATCTGGAATTGCGTGGCGCGCGGGTGGTCGAGGAGGGAGCGAGTGGCAAGGAAGCAATGGCAGCTTGTGAATGATTTTGTGCCACATGCAGCAGCAGCAACAGCAGCAACTTGTTTGACACTTGCCGCAAAGGCGAACAGCTACTGTATGTAGCATTGCGAGAGGGAGGTGGAGAGAGAGAGAGAGAGAGGGGTAGACTAGGCGACTGCTGCACTTTGCGCTTAATGAAATTCCCAATGACGTGTACAACATGGCGTATGCGTAACGCTGTTATGTAAGCGACACGCTCCAAACACAATTGGATAGACACAAGCATTAGTTAAAGTAAATGCAATTTAGTAAAGTATTATAAATAATTAAGCATGCGGAATAGCTATACATATAACAGAAAAGCTAGTCCTGACTGAATGGTGATCAAGCTGAAACAGAAGCTACGCCTTTTAGCAGAAACTGAGCACTAAGACGAAGCCATGGAATATTTGAAAAAGGGTCGTCAAAGTTTGTATGAAAACCATCAACAACAACGCAGCCCAATAAGTGTGCTTTACAAAAGTGCCATCAAGCGCTTGCGTGTCTTAAATGTCTGAGCGTCGAACTAGCAAGCGAAAAGTTGCCGGTTCAAACTCCACACTAATTAAAAATTTTGATATTTGTTTGTTTAATTTGATTTTAGTGATTATAGATGATCACATGGTATTTTTTAGTATGCATATGGATGACATTTACGTAGCTGCAAGGCAAGCTTTTATAGGAGGAATTAAGAGAAAGAGAGACCAATTAATAGAGACAGGAGCAACAAAATACTATTATTCATTAAATACCTAAATCAGTTACAGCAATTACAGGGTATTTTTCTATATCAGGCCGCACAACCCAATTTTCATAGGCTCGATAACATAAATGGGTTTCGCTAAGATATCTGGTAGAAAACCAGAAAGTCTGACATATGCCAACTTGCATCCAAACTGAGAGCTAAGATTGCCTATTGACTCGGCTTTAAAAGCCGATAAAGTTTATATGCACATACTTCGTGACACGCATTATAATGCCCACTTGCCTGCTTATTACAGGGTATACCGCATGCATAATAAGTGAGAATTGTAGTCATACGTCAAGGGAGATGCGTCAGCGAAATACGGAAACACAAGAAAAAAGAACATTTCGGGGAAAAATGAGGAAAATTCTTCATTAAACGTCCTACATGAAGGAAAATTAATTAACGAATTAATGTGCAAGTTGAGCCATTAACCGGTTAAGTGAGTTAACGGTGGCAAATGTCGAAAATGTGTTTGCAGCAAACGGGGAATTGAGAAATGGAAATTGGAATTCAAAATGGAGTTTTAATTTTCCCCCGCTCATTAAGCACCATTCCGCGTGGTCAAATTGATTTTTCCTTCAACTCGCAATGCGCTCGCTTCGTAGCCAATAATTCAATAAACGCTTAAATGCCGCGACTCTCAAGTTTGTGCAACACAAATATCGTCGAGCTGAATTTGTGGGCGCCACAATGCCGGGTAACATTATCCGAATAAAAAAACTATTCTACAGCTGGAAAATTATAACTTTTCATTGCTTCGACCGAGCAACATTTTCAGCAGCTTTTGTATAATAGAATATGCCAGGAGAGAGTCGGGGCGAAGGCGGAGTTGTGGCAGCGCCTGCAGACAGTCACAAAATGGTTTGTTGGAGCGCAAAAGGGGTGGTGGTTGGTGGGTGGTGGGTGGTGGGTGTCTATGTACAAAATGCTATACGAGTAAACTCCTGCGAAAGTGTAAACTTTCATTGCCTGACTGCCGTTATTAATTATAATTTGAAATTCTATAAATTTACAACAATTGCCAGCAACAGCAGCAGCAACAAAGCCAACAACAACAACAACAACAACAACAACAACAACAACAACAACAACAACAACAACAACAACAACAACAACAACAACAACACACAACAACAACAACAACAACAAATACAAATATAGCTTTTTGCAGAGGCCGTCAACTTTTTGCGTTGCCAAGTTTCAAGCTTCTGGTTACCAAGCCACGCCCCCGCCGCCGCCCACGGCCCACCCCAACAACAGACCCAATTCCTTTAGCTCATATTGCAAATGTTATTTTTGAGCACAAAAACTAAACAGAAAATACACTCAACACTTGCACACACACACGGACACACACAAGCACACGTACACTCACACAGATATATATATATATATGTATACAAGAGTGTTGCGCGTGTTGTGTTTATGCCCTGTTAGTTTACATGAATTCAGAATACATAAACATAGTTGCTACCAAAAAATAAGTAAGAGTGCGCTCTACTTGAAAGTGCTCGACTAGGGGATACCCTGCACCCTAACTAGAATAGCTTGACTGAAAAATATATATATGAGTTATAAAGGTCAGTAGAGAGAGAGAGCGGGAGGGAGAGAGAGGAAAAGAGAGAGAGAGAAAGGGGAGAGAGAGAGGGAGAAAGAGACATACACATATCGATAAACGATAACAATATGCAAAATGGGACTTGTCTAATTGCGCAATAAGCCTAAACACGATATTCGCACACATAAACGAATGTTTTGTATCATTTGTAAAGTGAAGTTTCTTTATGGCGCTTTACAGTCAAGTCGAGCACTTTCACCGACACACATTTACACACACACATACACACTCTTATATTGCATGATTCAGTCGACGGCTGACAGAGTTAGTTGCATGGTAAGGATAACACACACGTTGTTGCAGCTCCAGTTGTTGTTGTTGTTGTTGTTGTTGTTGTTAGTGCTACTGTTGCAGCATTTGGGCAATAATAACATTTTGCGTGCTTGCATGCGATTGCTTTCAGTCTGTTTTCTTTTTCTGTTATTGTTTTCCCTCCTCTTTTTTTAGTGTGCATTAGATATTTATGAAAAGCAAGAAAATCTACTGACAAAAACAGTTGGCGTTTCGCTAATTTGGTCTCTGGGACAGCACAAACTGTTCTTCATGCCCTGTAAAGCAGGCTTTACTAAAGCTTATAGATATGTGGATCAGTAGATACAGTTAAATGGGGCTTATGATAAGCGAAAGGTGCAAGAAATAGTCAGGTCGAGTCTACAGTATCTATCAGTCTATCAGTATTAATAATTAATTATTTTAAATGGATTAGCCTGAAGGGCCTGAGAGCCCTTCACTTAAATAGCATCAATATTTAAAGCTCACGCCTCTGTGCCGTTTTTTGAGATATCCCCCAAATCCCTTACAATATAATCCATAGATATTGTAAACTAGACAATCGAAAGAGTTATCATTTCTATCCTTAAACCTTTTTTTCGCCAATTGTGATCTCTATTTTTATCACTTATTTTGCCACTCAACTAATATGCCTCACAATAGCATGTGTAGCGCGCACACACAGACACGCAAAATAATAGAAATGAAATTTGAAATTATAAATTGCATTATATTGTTATGGCATGAATAATATGCTGACAAGTTGTAGAGGAGGAGGAGGCGGAGGAGGGACCTGAATAGCGCCCCAAGCCAGAAATGCGTCAAGTGAAAGTCTAGCTGAACGTTTCGTTATAATTGCTATATACACATAGATAAAATATAGTATGGTTTGGTATTTTCTTTATATGTATATCTGCCGCGCTCTGCGAGCTGTGGGCTATGTTATGGAATGTTAGATAGTTTAATGGCCTGAGACCCGTGTGGGATAATGCCTAGATATATCTATATAAGCTTATATATACATAAAATATTTACAAATGGAGTTTCTGTGAGTTGGACTTGGATATGATCTGGGTGGATTATGGCTTACCTCCGACACTGGAACCGTTCTGCTGTGAGTAGAGATTCTGTTGGGCCGTCTGCGGCTGCGGTTGATACAGTTGTGGGCCCTGGGGCGGCGGCGGACCGGCACGTGCTGCGCCCGGTGGCACCGCCAACACGGGGGCGGGGCTAACCAGACGCATGGGCGTGCCGGTGCGTGGTCCCATCACAAGCGAGCCGCTCTGATCGAAGAAGGCCGGTATGACCTTGAGGAGTTCATCGATTTCGATATCGATTTTTATACAGTTTTTTTTTACAGGGTTAGCATTTGATTTTTGGTTTTTGTATTTTGAGGTTATGAAGCATTTTTTGTTGATGTAGAAAAAGAAAAGAAGAGAAAAATACAACGTTTTAGGTCAAGTTGTAGGTTAACTATACAAATATATATATCTATATATATATATGTAATGTAAGTGTGTTTATATATATATTGAACGTAATATGCGTTAAATGTGTACAAACAATTTACACAGAATTTTACAATTTGCCCCCCTCCCACATATATGTACAATTGATGCTACTCTGTCTTCGTTAAAGCCCCTGCCCGGAACGTGTGGCTCACCTGATACGGCTGATTCTCGGCGCCCTGCTGCGAGGGCGTCAGGGGGCGGCGGGGCTGTGTGCCCTGCTGTGGTATCAGATTCGGATACATGCCCCACGGCGCGGCAACGCCATAATATGGGGCCATTTGAGCGGCAGAAATCATGCTCAGATACGGCGTCGCCTCCTGTCCGGGATTGATGACATACGGGGCCGCCTGCTGTGCTGCATATGCCGCATTCTGTTGCGCCTGTTGTGCGGCCAAAAACTGTTGCGACGCAGCCGCCATTTGCATCTGTTGCTGCTGCTGCTGCTGCTGCGAGGCCTGCATTGAGCCATTGGGTGGTGCTCCGCCGGCTGCGGCCGCTGCACTTGCTGCCGATGTGGCCGCAGCGGCCGCAGCCGCTAGACCCGGATTCTGTGAGCGAAAAAGTTGCTGCAAGCGCGAGAGAGGGAGAGAGTGAGAGAGAATTATATAATTAGTTAATCGTTCAGGACTTTTGTAAGAGATGTCCAAGTAATCGGGCTAATGCTGTAAGTACTGTTCATTATTTGGGAAAAGTTCGCAATTTGGTTACGAAATGTAAAGGAAGACATCTCCGATTCCAAATGTATATAATAAAACTAGATATTTTATCAGTGTTAATAATTAGCTTGTTTAATTTCGGCATCTGATATTAGTTTTAAATTAGATTATCGTTGATCTGTTTATTAGCCTAGTTTCAGCGTCTGATTTACATATTCGAATTATTGTTTTTTACATTTTATTTATTTACATCCTGTCTTAAGACATTAAGTTAATTTAGTTAAAATGAATTATTTAGCTAGGTGTATACTTATTTATATACTTGTATACTTATTATTATATACTCCATTTACAAAAAATAAATTTCCTTGGTCATTAAAACAACTTCCAGCCCATTTTCAATTAAAGTATGAAAAATGTCTTGCATTTTCCCGACTTTTCATGTCCACTTTAAGACTCGAGTTGTATCTTCTTTCAGTTGTCCTTGTGCTACGAGTCATGTTATCGTTTGCAAATGCTGTTGTCACCCACACACAAGGTACCCTAATGCCAATTGGGTCTGGTCTGGTTTATTTTCCAAGAAAATCTGTGTCGCATAATAGGACGCAACAGTCGTGTCATATTGCATTTTCTCGTAACTGGTCCTTTAATAACTAAGCCGTTGCGAGGCAGCCGCTGTTCGTGTTGTTCTAGCAGTGGAAACATGATCAAGTGTTCTCAATTGGAAAATTAAATCAAATCCAATCAAATCAGCATGTGATATCCACTCTCAGCGCACTGGGGAAGCAGGGAAACCAGAATACCTTTATATGCCGAGTATGCAGGAAAAGTTGGGGAGAGGAAAAAAAAACAACATGGCAACGCATGAGTGACTGCTTTTCTTTTTTTTTTCACTTTTTTTATCCTGCAATGTCTGCTGCAGTGTTGTCATATCATTGCCAACAACAACAAGACCTACTCAAAGCTCGAGAAGAGGCATAGAAAAAGCTGTGCGTAAAAGGTGGAAAAAAGTGTGGCACTTGTGTGTGTATGTGTGTGCGTGTGTGTGATTTACAGCGTGGTTTACAGTGGCTTTAAGTGGCGCAATTTAAAAGTTGGGGCAGCTGCACAGCAGTTGCAACTAATGAAAAGCCACTTGACAAGCTGGCATGACCAATTGCAGACGGCACTTCAAATCGAAAAACCATCGAAACGCTTTGTGCAAAAAACAGTGTTGGTAAATAGTTCCAAAGCGCAGACTGTAGTCAAAAAAAAAAGAAGCAGTTAATCTTTAGCAGGCCAAGAGCTTCTTTAACTAAGGCATTCAAAGGACTCTGTACAAGAGATGTGTAAAACTAATTTAGTTTAAAAATTCATAAGCTCAATTTTAACGTTTGGCCGTTTGGCATTGCGAATACCTTTTGATGTGTTCGGCCATAACCTCACAAAGTGCCGTTTTTTTTATTTCAGCATCTTCCATTGGGGAGTTCTCTGTCAATTGCTTACATGCGAGCATTGCGAGTATTGAAGTAAAACAAAGCGCAAAGTACACAGAGTATAGCATCAATTTGTTTGTGACAGTGGGGAGCAGCTGCTTTGGGGAACAGCGAAATGAGCAGCCAGAAGCGGGAGGAATGAGGAATCAATGTGAATTATTGATGAATGGCGCAGCGGCAGTCGCAGAATAAAAACGGAAACGAAACTGAAATAATAATACACAGGCACACACTCGCAACACTCACACTCACACACACACACACACACACACACACACACACACACACACACACACACTGACGCACACTTGAGCACGCAGCGATATAAAGGCAAACATCATGCTGCATACGTTGAGGCGCGTGATGCGAAACTCTCTTTCCTGGCATAAAATAATAATCATCCAGCAAATAAACGCTGAAATCTGAACCTTGCCCCGCCACCTACCCTCCCCCTCCCGCACACGCCACCACTTTGACGCCGTTATTAAAAGCGAAATTGCAAATACACAACAAAAGCAGAAGGAAAAAAAAGCAAAGAAGAAGATATTCACAAGCGAAAGTAAAGAATAAATATTAAAAAATTTCAGGGGAATTGCTTTTGATTCTAGGGTTGCCAAGTTACGCAAGTTGGCAGCACTCTGGCAACGCCAGCTCTCGCTCTTGCAGAGTGTGACCAGTTACACAATTGCTGATTATATGCAGCACTGTCTACAGTCCTTACCTCCTAACCCTCTGCAGCTAATGCTACAAACATATGACACCACGTTCTTCATCTCTCTCTCTCCCCCCCCCCCCCCCCCTCTCTCTCTCTCTCACTCTCTCTGTCTTTCTTGCTCTTGTGATTTATGCAAATGGTCGTCCAGTGCGTAATTTACAATGGCCAAACACAGCACAAAACGCATCACCTTAATCGGGGCGTATTATGTGGCCTATATATTATAAAGCCATACATTAGCGGCCATATAATTAGGAATACTTCTGTTTTTATAAAGCCCAGCATTTAGTAAAAAATAATTTTTTATATTATTTAAAGTTAATATATAAATATATATAAATAATTAGAATACTTTTTATTTAAGACAGTTCCTGATTACATGGCCAGCACTGTAGCTTAAAGCAGCGATACTTCATCATTCAGCAGCTGATTTATATTTATGTATATAGCTGAAGCGTGTCCCTCTTTGGTTAGTTCGTTTTTGCGCACTGAAAGTGCTGTCAACTCTGGCCAGAGAAGTATCAACAAGTTTCTCGCTACTCGTTTGCGTGGCTTCCTTTGCATGCCCTTGTAATTTGTGAGCGAGCCCCTGCTACCCCCTGGGCTGGACATTTTTTTCTTTCTATATTTTTATTTCATTTCATTTGCGCATTACATTACATTTGCCCAGGTCCCGACTTAATAAGCTCCCAGGTGTACAATTTTGAGCGAGTCGCTCGACTCGTAATGGAAATTATAGCTGATGTCATACACAGGGGAGCCCCACCCGCCTCCACGCCTCCACGCGTCCACGCCTCGAGTGAAAGTGAGTCAACTACCGGGGCAGCCAGCCACGCCCACTGCAACCCTTAGCATTTGCTACCCGCGTTTACTTGTTGCAAGTGGGTCGTCGCATAACAACAACAAAAAACTTTGGAGTCTCTTAATGTTGTTTTTCCACTATTTGCCTGAGTGGATTAGTTGTTGTTGTTGCTGCCCGAGGCGCAGCAGGTGGAGTTGGCCCAACTGCTAGTTGATTTATAATTATGGGACAGGGAGAGCACGACTACCATGAAATCAACTCCAACTCGAATACAACTACAAATGTCATGCCATTTCCATTTCCATTTCCCTTTCAAGTTTCAAGTGTGCTACAAAAAAGTTCTTTTCGCCGCATTTTATTGCATTCCTTTTGGCTAATTGACACAGTTTTTATGCGTACTTAAGTTTGAATCTCAGTTCGTGATTATATTTTAATTTCGCTTATTGAATCTTTGTTGCTTTACTGATTGAATTGGAGTACAGCAAAGTTTCCAATTAACATCAATCAATTACCCTGTAAACACATACTATTGACCGTGCTTGAACCAGGCATCTCATTTCGTAATCGCAAAATTAAAATGTGTTTACTTTAAATTTATAAATAAAAACGGTTTTAGTTAAAAGGGGAAAAGAAACAGGTTCACAACGGAAGATCGAGATGTTTAGAAGCGCCTTTCGCCTTATTCTTGCTAGTTTAGCTTTCTTCATAATTTCTTTGGAAGACTCTTTGAAAGGGAAAACCAACAGTGACATATATAAAACTAATTGAAATTTGAGTTAATAAAGGCCTTAATATAATTTCAACCAATTTAGAGACACACACACAATCATACACACACATAACCTCACTTAGGGCAAGCGAAATGTTTTCAGGGATTAACAACGCACGAAATTTTTTATTTAACAATAAAAAATATGCTCGACAAATTGCGTGATTTTTCGGTTGTTGGCTGCAGGTGTGCCATATGTCATTGTACATGGGGGCGTGGCATGGGCAATTTAATTGAATTTCTGGCGCAAAGTAATTCAATCAGCTGCGTCAAGCGTTGCCTGAAATTCTCCCTCTCTGCGCCCCTCTCCCTTACTGTGTGGGCAGTTGGGGCATTTGAAAAGCTATTCTAGCGAAATAAAATACACATGTACTCAAAGGGGGAGACAGGAGAGGGCAGGAGAGCAGGGGAACGCGGAGAGTGGGGGATCGTGCCAACTAATTGACTTTCTAATAGTTTCACAAATAGTTTGCTGCGAGAATTTGTTAAGAATCATGTCGAGACAATCGAAAGTTTTTTTGGACAGCGCGCACACAAATCTTAGCACAGAAAAGTTTTTCCCAACTTGCACAAATTTTTTTGTCGGCAACTTTTGGCCTAACTTCCCCCCGCCTTCCCGCTCAGCACACTTGCAACTTGTCTGTTACGGCAAATAGTTTTAATGGGCGGCGGTTTTTAACGGAGCTTTGCCTGGAATCTGCGTGAAGACACATTCCAATTAGCGGGAGAGAACGAGAGCGAGGGGGAGTTACGTGAAGAGCCTTCTCTCCTCTCTCTCTCTCTCTCGCCCTCATGACTGGGCCAACTCCGTCTGGGCAATTTGCAAGCCAATTAAATTTGACTGCTTTTTGGCGCGCAATGTTTTTGTGTAAGAAAATACAAGCTGCATAAATAAACACTTTTAAACTGTGCCACGCCTACCGTACAACGCCCACCGCCCAACACCCAACACCAAAACCCAACTGAAAATCGCGCGCTACTTTGTAATTTCGTGATTGCGCATTTTTGGCTTCATTTTGAGCACTTTTATGTGCCGACCGCCCCCTCCCTCCATCAGGAGGGGCACGTTTCTTTCTTCCCTTTTGTGAGCAGCTCGCATGCAGGGGGTGGTAAGGGGCCGGCGGTGGCCAAGGGGGAACAGCCGCTTTT